CCACCTCACACCGCCATTTCTGGTCTTTTCTGGTCTCTTCGGTTTTGTTTTTTGTTTTTTTTTCCCCCCCACTTAAGACAGCGCCTTAAAAAAAAAAAATGAACCCTCCACTTCTGTTGCATGAATGTTTTTCAAATGTGTCCTGGTGGCTTCCTTCCAGCTGTTTCTTCCCAACTCTCTCCACTAAGTTAAGGTCTCCTGACTATTTTCTTTCTGTCTGTCTTTTCCTGTTATTGCTCATCAGCCCCGCGATATTTTAGAAGCAGGAATCTGAGCCGACACTCCAGCTCTTACAACTTTCAGCGGCTCCCTACTGCCCTTCCATTGGGCGTGCCAAGCTGGGGACTTGATTGGCATGTCATTCTCCCCCTGCTCATATGAAACTGCGTCTTGGGGCTCCAAGAGGCCAAGCTTCCCTTCCATCTCCTGCCTTGAGTCCTAGTGCCTACTTCTTGACCCCCCCCGCAACACATGACTCAGAATTCAGTCTCCCCTGGTGCCTTCCCTGCCTCCCTAGAGAACAGCACAGACACTCACACACATCATGGTAAAATAAAGGAGTTTCCATGAATAAAGAGGGGGTACCGTTTATTTAATAGTGTTTCATTCAAGTAACAGACTTTTCATTTCCTAACGTGAATATAAAACTCAGGGAGCTATAAAAATATATCTGCCTTCAGTAATTGTTGTTTTGTTTATGCATAGATACCTTAAATCATATAAAAAGTATGTTTTAATTTAGAAAGATGATTTAGTTCTCATTCAGCTAGTTTCTTGAAGGATCCTCGCAGGTCTAGCTATTGTGTTTGTTGCTGTATTTTTAGTACTCACGTGCATCCTTTCATGTCTGTTTAAGACACAATATTCTTAAAGCATGTGCATCGTGCCCATTTTAGAAATGTTTCCACAAATAACAAGAACACACTGGTCTGACCTGAGATAGTGGGTCTTCTAACCCTCGTAGGTATAGGTATATAATCATGGCCTTTGAGGTTGCTGCCTGTAGTCATGACTTTTTTAAACCAATGTTCAAATATGCTTTTTCACAGAAATACCTGTTCTCTACATTGTGCATATTCCAGGAACAACAAAATCTATTACATTCTCTGCATCATCATCTTCTTCTTCTTCTTTTTTTTTTTTTTTTTTTTTTGGGGACAGGGTCTCACTGTATATAGCCCTGGCTGTCCTCAAACTCACTCTGTAGACCAGGCTGGCCTCGAACTCACAGAGATCCCCCTGCCTCTGCTTCCCTAGTTCTAGGACTAAAGATGTGTGCCACCAGGCATTCTCTGCATCTTCTTAAGAGATCCCACAGCATGCTCATTTTTGGTATCCAGACTAGTATTGATTGATTGCTCTTATTTTCTAACTACACAATATGATTTTTTCCTGCTGTGTGTGTGTGTGCGCGCGCATGCTCACGTGCCATGACACACATGTGGAGGTCAGAGGACAATGGACAGTAGTCGAGTGTCTCCTTCAACCAAGTAGGTTCCGAGGATCAAACTCATGTCCTTAGACATGATGGCAAGCACCTTCACCCACTGAGCCTCAGTGGCCTTGGGTTTTATTGTTGTTTTACGGAATTCAAAAGATTCCCGCTTCTCACAATGGTGGTGTGGCTCACTCAGCTGCGTCTTGCACTCATGTCTCATGGTCCAGGACAAAGTACATGGCAAAGCATGAAGCCCACGCCACAAGAGCCAGCCTCCCAAAAGGAAGCGCGTCCAGTACTTTGAGCAGTCATAAAATCCGGTCATTCTAAGTTGCTGGTGCCCTGTAAGCTTGGAAAAACAAACTTTGTTTTTGGAGGCTGATGAAATTACTTTAGACCTCAATTAACTCTCCACAGATGTCTAACAAGGGCCAACAAAATGGCTCAGTGCGTAGAGGCACTTGCCGCCAAGCCTAAAGACCTAAGTTTGATTTCTGGAACCTACACAGTGGAAGGAAAGAAGTGAGTCCCAGAGGTTGTCCCCTGATGTCCCCATGCACGCTGTGGCTTGAGTGTTCCCACACACAATAAATAAATGCAAGGGGCGTTAAAAAAATTTACATGTGTAAGAAAGATAATTAGGTACTTGAAGCGATTTGGAAAAGCCATTAGTGATAGCTAGAAGAAATAATAAATACCAGAGACGGACCACAAAAGCTGCAAGTAATGGAATTATCAGAAACATGCTGCAGAAGAATTGCTTCCTGAATCCAGGGAGATGAAAACGAGCTGACGTCTCAGCAGAGAAAATGAGCAGTGAGATGAGAGACCGGGAAGTAACCACGTAGAAACTGGAGAGCTAAGAATGACAGGAAAAGCACTCCAAAGTGGTGGGTGGTTTGTAGATTAGACACGACTGAAGAGTGAATTGCCAAAAGGGACAAATCGGGAGGTGTGGGGGTGGGGGGGCGAATCATCAAAATCCTACCTGTAAAATCAAAAGAAAGAAAATACAGAAGAGAAGAAAAGGATTACGAGGCAAAGAGAACACGGTGGAGTGTGCTGTTGCAAGTGGACTCTTGGAAAGGAAATTGCAGAAACAGAGGCAGTCGCTTAAGAGAGAAGGAGAAAAGTCAGAACTTAACAAATCACTCTTTAAAAATCTGTGCCTGTGTGGGACTGACTCTGACAGCCTGAGTGTCTCCCTGGGACACACGTGGTGGAGAGAGAGAGCAGACGCTCTTGAGTTGCTCTCTGACCTCCATACTCTCACTGTAACACATGTGCATTCACACACACACACACACACACACACGCACACAAAACATATAGATATGTATGTATCAGTGCCTATATATATATATATCATTATGAAACTATAGAACCCAAGGATGAGTAGAAAGCTTTAAAAGAAGATGGATGGGGGCGGGGGAGACTTTATTCAAAGCAATGACAGACTAATAGTAAAATTTTTACTCAGCAGAAATGTGAAAGCCACAAAAAAGTGCAGTAACACATTCCATAGTCTAAAGAACTGTCCAGCAGGAAAGCATCTCTCTCATAAGTGAAAAGAGATAAAAGATTTCAAGTGGATGCAATAGACTCAACTACAAAGAATTCCCCATGGTTACTTTTAAAATATAAGCATTGGAGATCAAGGGACCTATTAAATACCTGGATAAATCAAAATGAATATTGAGTATATAAAAGTAATAATGTCGCCAGGCGGTGGTGGCGCACGCCTTTAATCCCAGCACTCGGGAGGCAGAGCCAGGCGGATCTCTGTGAGTTCGAGGCCAGCCTGGGCTACCAAGTGAGTTCCAGGAGAGGCGCAAAGCTACACAGAGAAACCCTGTCTCGAAAAACCAAAAAAGAAAAAGTAATAATGTCTTGGTTAAGTTATATCTAGCTACTTACCTAATTTCCTATTGTAATGCATTGTAAAACAATGTCTGAATTAGGAGAGGCGAATGGAACTAAATTCTCTAGACTCTGTATTATATGAGAAAATGAAAACCTGTTCATTTATGGTAGTCTTTGATAAGCATAGACTATGTGATCTCTCATAACTAAAAAGTGAGTAGTAAGGTGATGCTAGGAGATAAATCTGTAAGCACCTAGGAAGTCGTATTAAATATCCTTGTGACCATAGGATAGGAAAATGTTTCTTAAGTAGGACACACTATTCATAAAAAAAAAAACAGAAACACCAACAGTATCAAACGTAGAATCCGGGGTCAGGAGGATGGCGTAGCCGTTAAAGGCACAGCCGCTAAAGGCGCTTGCCACAGAAGCCTCGGGACCTGAGCTCAAGCCTCAGAGCCTATAGAAAAGTGGAAAGAGAAACTGACTCCACAATGTTGTCCTCTGACCTCCAGTCAAATGCTGGGCATAGTGTACACACACACACACACACACACACACACACACACACACACACACACTAAAAAAATATAAAAAAGGAAAAACCATATTCATCTAGACAGTAATGAAGCTGAAATCAAGAAGGGGAAAATAATTAGTAACATGAATAACAAGACTCAGAGCCCAGGAGAACATTGATTGACAGGTTTCTGAAAGTATCCCCACGGGAAAGATGCAGGGTACCTTTCACATCTGGTAACAGGCTCAAGCTCGTGCAGCAGGGAGATAGTTACGGAAACCACGTAAGACCGCTGCACACCGGCACCGTGGCTTCAATTAAAAAGACTGACAGTGCCAACTGTTGATAAAGATGTGGAGCCACAGGAACTCTCCACCAGGCTGGCGGGAGCATAAATAGCATCCTTGTGGAGAGCCACCGGGCATTTTCCAGACATACCATTCTCTCCATGTATGTGTAGCCCAGCAAGATTGTGTTCATCACACTATAATTAATCCATAAAAAACCCCAACTAAGAGTTAGTCATCTGTCAATCACGGGGTGAATTATGATTTGTCCTGGCAATAAATACTAAGTAGTGAAATACTATATTCACGAGAAATGAATCTCGCTGACACTGAGCAAAAGAAATCAGATTTAAAGATATATGCTATTCTGTTTCTATAAAGTACCATCAAAATATTAGAAACCGGGGTAGTGGAGGGATGGATGTGTGGCTTCGTAGTGGAATGTTTAGCACATATGAGCTTCTGGCTTTGGTTCCCAATAAGGAAAAAAGGAAGTAAGGCAGGAGGGAGGTTAGTAGACATATTGAGAGGAAGAAAAATGTGGGGTTTTTACTTGAAGGACAGTCAGGGTGTTCATAAAGGACACTTTGGGTCTGAGAGTTGTTTACATAGGTAAACTTTGAGATTATTCATCGGGCTATATACTTAGGTCTGTGCATTTTTTTTCCTGTTTGTAGTCTTACTTTAATTTAAAAGGTAAACAAGAATGAAATTGAGAGTCTCCAGTGGTCTGTGAGGTTTATAAGGGTTCTAATCGGTCATCTGAGGTCCAATTGGCTTGTCTCTCTTCCCCCACCCACCACACTCCCTGAGAAACAGACAGACTCTCGCTGAGAAACATAAGGCTCACAGAACAATATGCCAATGAGCGAAATGTTTTTTCTGTTCCCAGGTCAAGAAAACGACAGAAGCCACCCTCCAGACGATCCAAGATATGGTCACTATCGAGGACTATGACGTGTCTGAGTGTTTCCAGCACAGCCGCTCCACGGAGTCTGTGAAGTCCACTGTGTCTGAAACCTACCTGAGTAAACCCAGCATTGCCAAGAGACGAGCCAACCAGCAAGAAACCGAACACTTCTACTTCATGGTGCGCCCCCTCCCGCTCCCCAGCCTCTTTCCACGGAGCCCAGGGCACCTCTCTCATGACGCCAGAGTCTCCTGGAGGTCTTGATTTAAAAATAGGGTCACCGGTGCACCCTCAGAGTTCCAGATGGAGGCAGTCTGGGTAGACAATGGGGAGTTGGGATTTCTCTAAAAACATACTGGAGGTCGGGGGCGGGGTTTGAGCAAATGTGAGGATGTCTTACTCCATGGTTCCTCCAACTTGGTTTTTTGAAACAGATTTCTTTCTGAACCAGGAGTCAACATGGCCCATAAGCACCTGGGATCTTCCCATCTACCCTCCACCCTAGTGTGGGGATTACTGATGCACACTGCCACACCCTGTGCTGGAGATATGACTCAGCTCCTCCTGCCCGCACGGCCATCCCTTTTTTCCCAATCCAGGTTTTTTCCAATTTTGCATGGGTCCATGTCACGAGGGAATTTGCTAAGCTATAGCCGTTTCAACAGGTCTGGGGAGGAAGATCCTGGAGCCTATGAGTCCAGTGGGCTCTCAAGGGCTGGCTGACTCCACTAGACTGGAGATCACACATAGAGTACCAGAATTCTAGGAAACACATAAAGCAACTAGGCTCTAGTGCCCCTCCGGGAAGTCCCGGGACACTGGATGGTTTTCAGTTTTTACCCTGCCTTTTGCAGAAACTCCGGGAGTTCTTGGAAGGCAGCAATCTCATCACGAAGCTTCAAGCTAAGCATGACTTGCTGCAGAGGACTCTTGGGGAAGGTCAGTCACCGGGAGTGAACGGGGAAATGATTTGGCCTGAGTGTTGTGTCATGAATGTTCTTTGTAGAGTGTGAAGTGAGAGTGTGTGTGTGTGTGTATGCACGTGCACGCGCACACGCAAATGCATGCTTGCGTAGCCTCAACTTATAAATAGAGAATGCTGTCGTACATTTAGATTCAGTTGACCTGTCTCACTGATAATTATGATCTCTCTTGAAGCCATTTCAAGCTTAGAGGTAAATTCAAGGAAGAGTAACTCCAGTGAGGAGGTTCCTTTGGGGAAGGACCCATACCTACTGACCCCAATCTCTGCTTCCTCTACCTTGGGCTTTTATGCCCTCCAGTGTCACCCCTGTCCATTTGAATGGACTGGTACCTGTCCCATCTGTTACCTTTGGGGATTCTAGAAACCAGTTTGTCCAGTCTGGGCGATTTTCTTCCATTAGGCATTGTCGGTAGTTGAGAAATGATCTGATGGTGTATTTCTAGATTGCTATGTGTGGTAACCAAAACAATAGCATTAATACTAACAAACATTCTCAGAGCCACACATTGTTCTGAACTACAGTCTTAACTGGGTACCATTAGCTTCCTCATCTTTACAAATGAGGAAACTGGGGTGGCGTGGATACAAGCTAAGGGGACTATGTAAACACATGGCTTACCCTTTTTGTCTTCATAAAATGTAAAAAGGAAAAACAAATATATACAGACAAAGCTCTAACTTAGTCAAGTGTCCGGGTTCTTTAGACCGGTTCTTCTTTACACTAGATCCTGATGAATGTGGGGAAAAGTAAAAGAGAAACTGCAGAATGGGGTGGGAGATGAGAGGATGGACTTTGTGAATGACTGGGTTCAAAGGAGATTCCCAGGGCTACAAAGGTGGTTCAGCCATTATGAGCACTCACTGGGATCTGAGTTCGGCTCCCAGCACCCACATGGTGGCTTGCTCCAGTTCCTGGGGATCTGATGCCCTCTTCTGGCCTCTTCAGGCACCACACACACACACAGACACACACACACACAGACACACACACACACAGTGTACTTACATATGTACTCTTCTGCACATAAAATAAAAATAAATCTTTTTTTAAAAAAAAGAGGTTTCTGTCTTACACTTAAGTCCTTTCCTCCTACATTCTGGAACCTTCCTTGCCCACAAGTCAGTGTATCTACCACTTTACCTTATGGTTTGCTCCAAAGAACCTGTCATCCTCAAGGAATGGCCACAAGGCAAAAAGTTGTCATGCATGATCTCAGGGCTCCCCAGCTTCTGTATTGAAAGGCAGTCATACCTAGGAAAAAGGTTTTTTTGTTTGTTTTAACTATTAAAAAGCATCCAAGAAAAATAAAATAACCAAATGCAATGTGTCAACTTTAAAATCTGAACCAAAAGGCAAAAGTTATGAAGGCCATTTTAAGCATAATGGGAAATGGATATAATCTATATGTTAAATATTATTGACTTAATTTTCCTATGTGTTATAGTGATACCATGGTGATAAAGAAGAATGTTCTTATTCTTTAAAAAAAAATTGCTGAAGTGTCACATTGTCCAGAACTTACTTCATAATGGCATGACTCAGGATTTTTAAAAGGAGACATACATACATACATACATACATACATACGTGCATACATACATACATACAATTATGAATTCTAAGTGAAGGTGGTCAGCATATTCCTTGAACTATTCTTTAATCTCTTCCATAGGTTTAAACATTTTTTTTTTAGCCTTTTTATCTCTGAATAGTTTTCTTGTATAATTATGTCCTGGTTTTGTGTGTGTATATGTTTTTTTTTTCTTTTCTCTCATAATAAATTCCCTGTTTTCCTCCCATTTTCCACAAGTGCCCAATATTCAAACAATCCCTCAAGGTCCCTTGCTGACCTCCCCCCCCCCAGAGCATAACATCTCCTCAGTGCAGAGAAATGCTTTGAATGCTTTTAGACCAAACTCTCCCTCCGAGACTGAGAGCCACCGTGGACATGGTGAGGTGGAGGGAATTGAGCCGTGGGTGTGCTCACTCTTGGCTCTGTGCTCAGGCAAGTGTTAATGTGGCTTGGAGCAACTTTCTGAAGCTTTTATGGTCGTCATTCAGGATAAATTCTTTCATGTCTCCTAGAGAGAAAAGCCCCACTGGTTAATGTTATTCTCCATGTCATTCTTGGATCGGGCTACATTTTGGCTTTGTAGACTGAGACCATTTGCCAAAGGCTGTCCTTAGCCACTCTGTGTAAAGCTGTCACACCTTGTGAACACTAAGCCAGGATTCCTTTGTCTTGGAATTTCTTTCAGTGGGCTCCAGTGTCCCCCATGACATAGCTTCGTCACACTCAGTTAAGTCTGTGGAAGGGGCCTGGGTGGTTTTCATCAGGGTGGTGTGCCCTAACGGGTACAGACCTCTGCCGCTCTTAGCCCAATTAACTTGTGCCAGCTTGCCAGAACATCAGCTGCTGGCCACTCACTGGTGCTGGGTTTGACCTTCCAAGAAAACTGAGCACAGGAGACACACCCCACTTTTAAAAAAGTTCAAGCCATGTAAGCCTGCTGGCTTTCCACACAAGCCCTGTTCGTGTTAATAGGCTTACAACAGAGGAGACTAGGAGGGTTAAGGGCGCCTGTCCCATGGAAAAACAGTCCCATGGTGAGCCCTTGGGAAGGGATCCAAGTCCCCATCTGGTTAAATAAGGTTAGTAGTCCAGGGTTAAGTGGTGTGTTTAGGGACTGGCTTGACATTTCGGATAGGAATACCTCTGAATTCTCCCAGACCAGCTGCTGCAAAACTGCCTTCATAGTAAAAACAAATACCTTGTTCCGGGGATTTAGCCGTTGATCGTGCACAGATGAAACTCTAACGGCAGACATGTGTTTGGCCTGCCTTGCCGCCTGCTCTTGGCGGGGCTACCCGTGGCCCTGTCAGTTCGTCAGTTTACAACACAGCGAAGCCACTGAATCAGACTCCCAAAGCGGCATTCTCCAGACTCGGACTCCCAAGACTTTAAAAAGCCCAGAAGTAAAAGGAAGAAAACACGTGGGCTATGGAAGCCACGCTCGTCTCCCTCTCCTAGATCTTTTTAGGGAGATCATTTCTTTGTTTCTTTTTCTTTTTTTTTTTTTTTGAATGGAAGTTAAATCGGCCACAGTAAATGAGATATGTATCTATAAAACTGGGGCATTGAATTTTTTTTCTTTCCGTCTAGTAATGAGCCTTCGTGTTCACATCAGGTTCTTTGTGTGAGGTATTTGGAGGTAAGAGCGTGGAAATAGCTGTACAGTTTTTGCTAAACAGAAAACGTGACGGTGGGAGCCAAGCTCTATATTACATTGTTCCTTGTCCTAGGCATAATATTTTTGACAAAGGAATCAAGTAGGTTATCTTGGAATGATCCATTGTCTGCCTTTGAGTATGAGTACAACTATTCTTTCAGAAGAGAATCAGATTGTGAATGATTATGGTTTTTTACAAAAGCTCTCTGGTTGTCGATGGAGTCAGGACAGGAAATGGGCTGGAAAGTAGCCACCACGGTGACTTCATCAGTCCCTCATTAGGGGACAAACCAAAGGTCCAAGTCAAGCTAGGCATAGTCTAAATATTATTCTCTAGGTTTTTTTTCCTCTTACCTCAACTTGCCCCCAACCTTCATTTTGTATAAAATGCATTTAAGCGTGAAAAATAATTCACTTCAGAATTCTGAAATAAAATGTAAGAGGATTAAAAGAAGCCAGTGATCCTGGATTGCAGTTCCAGAACTTGAAAGGTGCAGTCCCAGAACTTAGAAGACTTCAAGGTGAGCCTGGGATACAGAGCAAGGACAATCTCTACCTCAGGAACAACCCTCTCCCCCATCCCTACCCTCCACCGAATAAGTAGTCCAAGGAGCTGTTTGTACCCTCCCCCCAAAAAAAACTTAATCCTGGATCTTTTTTTTCCCTCCAAGTAGCTTATATAAAGGAGGGGGTTAGGCTGTAGTTTTTAATAATTAAATAAGCTTCCAAAGAAAGTGGCCAAAATCTAATCCTCAGACCACTAGAAGCTTCAGCATTTCTTTAGGAAGTCGAGTCTTCCTTGCTTGTGTGTTATTGATGACGATACTTATTAAACCTATTCATGATGATACTTATTAAAAAATAAAGCGCCACTCATCCATTGAGATGCACTCAGGACCGTTACCTGGAAAAGCCGTCCATGTGGCAGTGCAGTTACGCGGTAACTCCCGTGACATTTGTTCTTGGCTCATTATTCAAAATGGATCTTGTATACGTTTTTAATTTTTTATCTCAGATGCTCAACCATCAATGGAAGAAGCAAAATAATAGAATTCATCTTATCATTTGTCTTTTTCTCAATCTAGAAAATAATTGGTTGGGCTATTTGAGCAAAAAACAACAGAATTTCCCAGCTAATAAAATATTTCACTTCTAATAACATCAGTTTCTCTAGTATTGGACCATGTGAAAGTGACCGGACGGTGCGCCTCACCTTAAATGTGTAGATAGTTACTAATCTGTGCAATCACATATCTGGGTGATTTTTTTTTATTTAATCCATTATATTTTATTTTAGCCCTAGTGGGCAGATAGAAGTATAAGCCGGGGTCCATTCCTTCCTTCTAGGATTGTTCACAAAGTGTTTTCCGGTGGTAAAACAGAAGTCAGGTTTGAGTGTGGATGTGCATGTAGCGTTATGTATTTGTCCTTGTGGATATGTGCACATGTGTGCAGGCATGTATGTCCACAAGCCTGTGGAGGCCTCAGAGGTCAGCAGAGAATAGCTTTCCTGATCACTCTGAGACAGGATCTCTTACTGAAGTAGGAGCTCACCAGTTGGCTAGGCTGGCTGGCCATGAGCTCCAGGGATCCACCTGTCTCTACCCTGAGGTAGAGATTGTCCTTGCTCTGTATCCCAGGCTCGCCTTAAAATCTTCTAAGTTCTGGGACTGCACCTTCCAAGTTCTGGAACTGCAATCCAGGATCACTGACTTCTTTAACTTGTATTCCAGAATTCTGAAGTGAATTATTTTTTACCCTTAAATGCATTTTATTCAAAATGAAGGTTGGGGGCAAGTTGAGGGGGGGGTCAGACGTGTGCCCCCATGCTTAGTGTTTACATAGATGTTGGGATCTGAACTCAGCTTCTCATGCTTGCCTGGCAGGCACTTTCCCAACTGAACCATCCTCCAAATGCAGAGACTTAGCTTTGCGTGCGTGTGTGCGTGCGTATGTGTCTGGGTATGTTGAGCATTGAATTCACAACCTCTTGAATGCTCAGTGAGTGCTCTACCACTGAACTACATCCCCACCCCAACCACTACATTTTTTAAAGTAGTGTAGTACAGTGCTCGGGATTTCAGAACTGTAATTAAAATAAGCCTCAACCCTAGTGCCAGACCCACGCCACACTAACGCGGTCTGGAATGGGTAGTGTTCTTAGGTACTCTGTCTCTTTTATAAAATAAGAAAAATAATAGAAGCTACTTCATGAATGTTATGAAAACTGTGAGTTAACATACTCAATATAAAGTGCTCAGGCCGGGTGTGGTCATACACACAAATACTGCCAGAACCCAGGGGCTGAAACAGGAAGAGCTGGAGTCAGGAGTTCTAGGCTAGCCTGCATACCACAGTGTTACATACCTGTTACACGGTGTCACTCTGTCTCAAAATTAGTAAGGAAATATACAGTGCTTCAAACACTGGACAGAACTTGTTGCTTATATAATGCTTAGGACATTTATTCAAATAGTGTTCTGGCCTGTTTTTATTAATATATCACACCGATGCATGATAAAGCACTGAACAATACAGATGAGCCAGATGGTGTCTCTGCCCTCAATCCTCTGTCATCCCACTGCTTCACGCACGCTAGGTGGTCTCCGCCAGCTCCTCTGGCCTCAGCCCAACCAAAATGATAGACACTCTCTGCCTTGTCTGCCCTCGCCCAAACCCAGTCCAGCCCAGCTTCCTACGGGCGTGTCCATTAGGATAGCCACAAGGTACCACATACCACACTCAGCTCACTCCAACTCTGGCTAGAATCTGATCTTTGGCAAAACGTGTGTTGGCTCAGATCTATGTGAAGAAGGGTGACCTCTGATAGCATGCTGCCCCCTGTTTAATCGATCCATATCAAGTATTTCATGTTACTTGTTATTCAAGAGCGGATAATAGACAGAGGGGCTCAGCGGCAGTCTAAGAGGGTTCCTCGGCCACCCACACCTCCCAGTTGTCCAGTTGTCCAGTCCTGTGGGTCTGAATCACTGTGTCATGTGATGGGCAGGGCTCACCTGTTCGTGCTCCACCGTGGCCTTTCTCTGCTAGCTGTAGTTTCAGACTCCTTCAGAACCGTGATGTCATTTTTGCAGACAAACCATTTTGCATGGTTCTCCTCTCCCGCACCTTACCACCCTGTCCCACCCTGAGTGTATGAAGAACAGACTGCCGCCGTGGATGTTTGCACACTTGAAATGAATGCAGACTGTGAGCGTGCTAGAACACGTCGGTCCTGTTATTTACAATAAGAAGGTCATATGTATGCGTGAGAAGCAGCGGGTGGTTTAGATGGTGGAAGTCTGTGAAAGACTTGGAGCTTACATGGTGGTCGATTGTAGAACAATTTAATGTCCTTGGATGATGTTGTCTGTGTCAGTTTGGAATAGGGAACCCAAGCTCCCTCCCAGTGCCATGATTTCATACCCCAGAAAGAATACCAGCATAGTCTATGGGAAACTGAGTCGACCCAACCCTGTTTGCTCTTCTGTCAATCAAAACAGCGCAAATCACTGGCAGGAGCCGGGAGCTTTAGATATGCTTTGGTGTGGTTTGTGTTTGAACTCAAAGATACAGTCAGAGAGCTATTTCTTGTTTAAAAAAAGAAGAAAAAAAACTGCCTCAAATTGCCAAATGGAACATGTTTCTCTAGCCGATAGAATTTGTTAAATTTTGGATTGAGATTTTGTGAAAATCATGACTTTGAATTATTTGTTATCATACGCCATTCACATCTTTTCTACCACAAGATCTGTAACTCGTTCTTAACTCAGTGTCCTCAGACAAGGGGACCAATGATACACAGGATTATCAAATCGAACCCACTGATTCCACCCAGCTTACTAATTTATTTTATTATTTTTTTTGGCAGGTCATAGAGCTGAATATATGACTACAAGGTAGGAAAATATTTTATCTGTAGTCTGTCTGGCTTTCTTTTCTCAACAAAAGCAGTTAATAACTCCAGAAGATAGTCTGGGCATGACAAAGCACAGCACCCTGAGATGCTTGGGTTCACACCAGGTGACGTGTGTTGTGTCTGACACAGCCAAGGTTGTCCTCAGTGGTAGACGGTAGTACCAGAGTTGGGTGGCCTTAATTGATCTGATCCCAAACACATTAACTTTTCGGATAGACTGATGACACTTTTGACTTGATAACTTGGTTAACATGTGATATGGGGTGTGTGCCACCTGCGTTAGTAAATAGAAAGAATGGCCTACTTCCAGCTCCTGTAAAAATGCCACTTCTAGCATGGACCGCCTATTACACATCCCTCCACCCATCCATGAAGGACTGACTATAAAGCTTCTTGCTGGAACATTTGGAAGCAGATTCTGATTTGAGTTGAGGGACGTTTGTGGCAACTTTGGTTTCTCTATGGTGTCATCCGTACAGCAGGCAGACATCACAGGAGTTGACGTAGCAAGACTTCACGTTTGAGGCTGAGTTCTGGTAGAGGCTAGAGGCACGTGAAGCCTTTCAAGACAGTCCTCTAGTTTCCGAATCTGATGCTAGGATGCCCTAGGTTGTTGTTCATCCCGGGGACCATCGTTGGCCAGGTTAGCAGATTTCCAGGGATGGTCAGAACCACCCTCCAAGTGTAACTTTCCTATGCAGGTTAGCCAATCCGGAACCTGCTTTAATTGGTTCTTGCACACAGGCCTACAGGTCCACCTGTCTGGACACCCCACTACTAGGTACCAGACAACCAGGAATGTCCCCCCACTCCAGAAGCCATCAAAATCACCCCATCTCTACAATTCAGTTGTTATTTCCCATGCTCTTCCCATTCCTTCCCTTGAAAACCACAGCGAAGGGGAGGTTTACACACATACCTGCTCCTCCTCCCTGTCTCCCGCCCAGCCTTCGAGCTGCCCCCTGTTCACACCCACTCCATGGCGGAGTGCCAGGGCACACCTGTGCCTCTGCGTGCTGGTACGCAGCTCTGTCTCTTCAGAGCAGTCACCTCTTGATAATATAAAATCGGCATTAGACAACATTTATAAGATAATGAAAAGGTGACATCATCCGGTAGATCTGATGAAACTTTTGACAGCTAGTGTGAGTTCCTCACGCCTGCCACACTCCTTCCTTCATGCACAGCGTGGAGTTTAGTGTCTAAAAGCATTTCAGAAATGTTCACTGCGGAAGGACAAGGTGTGCTGCCCAGGGGAGGTCTCCACACACTTCTGTGTCTTTGTGAAGGCTCCTTTTAAGTGCCTGAGCACCAGGGGACTTGAGCTGCTGCTGGCTGTACACTCCATTAGTCACAGCCCTCCTGCTGGGAGATTCTGAGGGTTTAGCCATGAAAGGCTGTATCAGCAGGTTTGTCCCGTACACGTGTTGATTGCTGTGCTAGGAGCTAATGATGCTCTTCAGGGTTTCACATAAATTCTTGGGATTTTTATTTCTAACCTGGGCTTTGCGCACTGTAGCCAAATGAACTTAAAAGGCCACTCATCTAAAGAACAGGTTCACAAAGGGCGTGCACAGTGCGTAGGCATGGCGAGCCTTCTCCGGTCTGCTTTGCAGAGTTAGTTAACCGGCAAAAATGGAGGAATTGAGTCCAGTCATCTTGGTCCTCTAGAGGAGAGAGCAGGAGTAGCCTCCTCGTTCCGATGGTAGCACAAGGGAAGTGGTGCCAGGGTTTGCCAGCTTAGCCCGTGGCACACTGGATGTGTGTTAGCAAGCCTGGAAGCTTACCCACCAAAGCCAACAAGCAGGAGAATCCAGAGCAGCACAAATATGTGTCATCTACTGCCGCACGGATGTGCGGGCAGGGGCATCCTGCATTCTACCAAAAAACGGTCACTCGGATGAATCTGGGCTTCACACTCCGAAACCACATTGAAACCAATCCCTAATTTTCTCAGGGATGACCTGTTAATGAAAAGGTTTACATAAAATCAAATCCCATTAATGCATGAGGAATACTGAACAGATGCGATGTTACCTGCATTGGAGAATTATGAACTGACTGAAAACATTTAAATTCTCATTTGGAAATCTCTCAGAGCCCTATTATAATTATGTTTTGGTGTGTGATTCACCAAACAAAAACCTGGCTTTATAACATTTGGCTAAATAGCTCACAGTAGCAACTTATAATACCATTTTTTTAAGTAAACTACAAAAAAATAAAAATAAAAATGCTAGTTCTCACAGATGAACAGCTCCTGTGCTTCTGATCCATAAATAGAATCAAACTGAAGGAAAATGATGGGGGTGTTTGCTCCTGGGCTGGGGTGGGGAAGGAACCCAGGGTCCTCTGGTTTTATTATTTTGATATGACCTAAGGGTATTTCATTTATTGTCTGATTTCTGCCATGCTCAGTAATTATATTCCATTCCCTTAGGCCTCCAAACGTCCCCCCTAAGCCCCAGAAACACAGGAAGTCCAGGCCCCGCTCCCAGTATAATGCTAAGTTGTTTAATGGGGATTTGGAGACATTCGTCAAGGTACTGCACCAGCCACCTTCATGGCTGACCTCCATGCTTCTCACTATAATGGTCTCAGCCTCCCGTGAAGGAGGCAGGTCATTATGTCGAGTCTGTCCTGGGGCTCTTTGCTTTCCCAGAAAAAGCAATATAATATTTCCTGAAGTCAGAGAGGAATGAATATTTGGATTGAGAACCTTCTGGAGAAAAAAAAAAAAATGAATGCGGACGATATTATCATATGGGTAAAAGAAAATGCCCCCCCTCTTTTTTTTCTTTTTCCAAGCCAAAATTTGTAGGAAAAAGAAAAGATAAACTTGATAAAATATTTTCTCCTTGCTTGTGCACATGAGATGGCACAGTGTATATGTTTTTAAATCTGTCGTAGCCTTGCTCTGAAGCAAGGCACGAGCCTGGCTTTCTCGTGACTTAAGGAATTCATTATATTGGACGAATTTTGTACAGCCCTGAAGTCTGTATCTTGTATCTCTGCTGTGTTTACTCTCTGCCTTCTTTCTCATCCTGTATTTCTGATAATGCTTCTAGCCGGGGACGAAGGAACTCTCACGCCAGACATCAGGTATTGTGCCGGAGGGAAGCGAGGGTCTCTGCGCTGGCATCATTTGCAAGTCATAACCATGCTTGGCTTTAATTAGAGTTTTTAAGGTCTTTAAGAGAAAAATGTTTGCAGTTAGAAATTAGACAGTTTATAAATGGGCTTTACTTAGAAAAACCTGTGGGAAGCAGACACTAATTGAAACGGAATAATACTTACCAATTAGAGTGGACGTATCAATTTTTACCTGATGCGTTTGGCAAATGCCTCCAATTTCAGCTAGGAAAAGTCAGTGCTAAATACCAAATGCATATTTAATATTGAATTATGGATTTTTATGTAAATTGTATGAAAAAGAGATGTTCCCATTAGAGATAACATTTCATGAGATGGGCTACAGTGTTTTTTTTGTTGGGTTTTTTTTTTTTTTTTTTTTTTTTTTTTGGCTTTTTGAGACAGGGTTTCTCTGTGTAGTTTTGGTGCCTGTTCTGGATCTCGCTCTGTAGACCAGGCTGGCCTCGAACTCACAGAGATCCACCTGGCTCTGCCTCCCAAATGCTGGGAATAAAGGCGTGTACCACCGCCGCCACCTGGCAGGCTACAATGTTTTTGATGACTAACTATAGTAGAAAAATGACATTTTTAAATATTTGATAAGTTCCATAATTTGAATGTTATAGACATCTTAACTTCTCTAAAGATAGATTTGTTAAATCTGTACACTAACAATGAAAAGGCTTGCATTAATGTATGTGTGTGCCGTGTACAAGGCACTTAAATACATTCATGCTTGTGTGCATACAGAGGGAGAGAAATCAGAAGCCACTAGAAGCCTTAAAAGTGAGACCTAACCCTGGGATAAAGTGAAGGGCCACTGAGCAGCCTACACAGCAAAATCACCAAGCCATTGCCGAGCCTCAGTTAGTATTGAGTCTAATTGAATAAAAAATTATTGTCGAACTTGACTTGATTATCTAGCATCCCAGGCCCTAGCTTATGGGCAGGAGCCAGTTAAACAGAATGAAGGCAAACAGTCAAAGGAAGAGAGTAGGCTGTGCCCTTGATGGCCTGGCAGGGAGGGAGAAGGCAGACAAGCCACAGAGGCCGATGAACCACTCTGTTCCCATTGCTGGTGTGGTGTGGGACCAGCTGCTTAAGACGATGCACGTATTAGAGACTTTGAAAATTCCTTGCTAAACACTACCAGTTAAAGGCAAGCAAACTGAGGAACTGAAGGAGGACTGCGCGGTGTAGTTAGTTTGTGAAAAATCCGTTGTGTGAGCTGTGCCGAGGACACACTGACGAGTCACTGGTACCTGGGAACCCAGAGGGACTGAGATCTCACTCTGCACTTCAGGAAAGTGCTCCTGAGCTCTCCCAAAATGTGCCACAAAAAGGCAAGAGCAAAACCACCTTCCCATGGGGAAATGGAGACACAGAGAGATGTTTGGATGGAGGTGGCAGGAAAGCAGCCCATAATCTCACTCCTTGTGAAATATTTTCAACCCAAACATCTGGCACCCATGAAATTAAAATGCTCGTTATATTTTTACTACAAAGTGCACTGTGTCTTAAATGGGATGCTGATCTTTGTTAAAAGATTAACTGTCATCTAAGTGGGTGTCAAGACGAAAATGTTTAGTACAGTACCATGAAGATGGAAGACTTTGTTCAGAACTTTCTGAGTGCAAACAATTTTCTTTTCATCTTGGGTTCTTTGTCTTCCTGCTGAGTTCGGCAGAGATGTAAACTAAAGTTCCCTTCCATCACTCACTCTTAAGTGTTTGTTGCTCTCTTAAGTTGCAGTGTGACATGAACCGTCTGTAAAATGTTACTTCCATTAAACCATGCTTGTGTCTTACAGAAAAAGACCCCTTCGTGTATTCAGTAAATTTTCATGTCGTTACCCCACTGTTCATGAGCCAACTAGCCTTCACTAAAAATGTGTTTTCTTTTTTAAGGCTCTTCTTTAAGGAATTCATAAAACGTATGCTCCTCAGCCAAATTAATGAATTAGAGAAACCAAATACAGTCTCCAGAAGTAATTGGAACATTAAGTGGTTTATACGCTGGTTGCCTTAAAGCTTGAAAATAAAACTGTGTCTTAAGCAGCACGTTGCCCACTCTGGAGACGATAAAGACAGTGGGAAGAGTCTGGGCTGCTGAGATGCATTATTCCCAGTCTCCCCTGCCCAGCTGGCCTGGGAAAGTTAACGGGTTTGAACTGTCCTAGTGTGTTAAAACCAAGTTCGGAATGAAAACCAAGTTCAGGAGTGTGTGCCCGACACCAGCTAATCCCTTTCAAGTCCCATGTTTCCTGGAAAGATCTAATTCCTAAAAGAGTGGTCTTAAAAGTCCATGAGAAACATCATCCCTGGTCTTTCTTTTTAACTCACAGAGTGCATGCCATCAGTACATGTTTAACTGGCCTCTGGGCCCTTCATCTCATCTGCCATCCTACACACGTGGCTTTTAAAGCATTTCCAGCATTTGGTAGAGGATGGTGACCATTTTACAAGGTGTGGACCGGGAAGGCCAAAGCGGTCTTCCTTGTCGTCATCCTTAAGATGGGCTGAGTGTATGAGGCTAAGTAAGTTCTGATGCAGACTAAGTAAACATGTAACATGCTTTCGTTACCCATAAGACAGTTTGCGACTGTCATCATCCAGGTGGTGTGGTCTTAGCGATGTGGTGGAGAGGGTCCTAAGAATCCTGAAGCAGCGAATTAGACAGAAGATGCCACAGTTGAAATACACGATATTCTCCCGACATGCTCCACACTGACTGTCTTGAGTAATAACCTCTTAAAATGAGTTACTCATTTTGGGCATGTAAGTTAAAGCTAAGGAAAAGACATGAAGTGAGGTCTTGATGCTGTGGCTCTTGTCTGAAGCAGCGGAGTTATCTAGCCTCCAACTCAGCCTCCTGGCTGGGGGAATGAGAGCCACCACTCCCAACATAAATTCGCTTCTCAACATACCTAGGATATCTTGTGTTAAATACATTTAATTTAGCTTGCTTCAGAACTGAAATACACCTTTGTCTAAGTATATATTTTTTTCACTCTTTTTGTTGTTATTAGTTCTTTCTGGAGAATTTTTAGAGGGGTGTATTTGGAAAAGGTCACCTGACTAGGGCAAAAGCCATGCTAAGGACTAAACTGTGAATCTTATTTCTCCCTGGGGTTCAGCCTTCTCCTCTGACATTGGCTGGTTTCTGTCTCTCTCCCCAGGACTCAGGCCAGGTTATCCCTCTAATTGTGGAAAGCTCCATCCGGTTCATTAATCTCTATGGTAAGCCCATCTTCACGGGATCCTCATTTAAGGGCAAGTAGTGGGTTTGTTTCAGTAAGCATGTCCTTTTGCTGTCGTTTTATTCTTGAGAAAAAAAAAGAGAGAGAGAGAGATGTGTGGGGTGTGAGGAGGAAGTTTCTCATACTCTTCCTCTGTCGCCCATAGGTCTTCAGCATCAGGGGATTTTCAGAGTGTCTGGTTCCCAGGTGGAGGTGAACGATATCAAGAATTCCTTTGAGAGAGGTAACTGTATGTCTCTACCCATAAGCAAAACATTTTAAAAACCCACTTTTCAGAATTCTGTGTTCTGCCCGGCGCACTCAACTCTGTTCAACCCCCAAAACCTCCATCCTGCACGGGCTTCATTGTGGGAGCTGTGGGGAATGAGTTGTTCCTGCGAAAAGCTGAAAAGCCCATGAGGTTTGTCCCCTGGTTCAGGGTTCACAAAGACTGTCCATGACGTGTGTCAAGGTGGCACCTGACAGGGTTCTAGAAGGCATAGGCTGGCCTAGCCTTCATGGTGAGGGGGTGGGACATCTCCTTCCCACTTCCTGTGACCTGGGTCAGTGCCTTCTCTAGGTTCCTAATTGGCTGAGACACAAGTTGTACTAAACTGTTAATGAGTACGTTATAATTAGCAGAGCCATACACCGACCTAGCGTCAGTAAAACCCAGAGTTGAATCAGAGTCTCTTTTATTATTGATGGTGGGATTTGGCCAAAAAGCTCCAATTTTAATTTGACCTGTTTCCTCATCTGCAAAACTGTAGGGTTGCCATGTGGATTAGATTTGACCTGTGAAAATACCTGGCCCTTTACAGATGCTGTTGGTTATTAATGCTCTCCAGCTGTCAGGATTTGCATTGCATCTACTTCCGGGTCCCTCTGCGTCTTCCCTCTGCTTGGCAGTCAGGGCAGAAATGCAGAATGGTGATGGCATGGAGATGTCTCCCTGTGTGTCCCCTTTTCCCTGACCTAGAGTTGCCACAGAGCCCTTTGAAGTTGGAAGCTTTGGCTGAGGAGGGAAACTTGGCACCACAGTGGATTTTTCGAGTTTCAAAGTCTCCGACTAGTGCACGTGGGACAGACCAGTCTCCCAGCAGCAGCTGAGCATGCCACACCTTCTTACACTGTGGTGAAGGCCAGGTGGAAGTGGTTAAGCATAGGCTAAGCTCTTGGTGGCCACCACAGACCAGTGAATGCTTTGTTATTTACTCCTGGTTGTTTTTGAATACCTAGGTGAGGTGTTTCTCTCAAAGGGCAAAACAAATAATAACAGTTAATAGTAGTAGTAGTAGTAGTAATAATAATAATGATAATAATAATAATAATAATAATAATAATACAAGTGATTCTGCTGAGCTCCTGTTCAGCCATTTCTTGACCTAGAAAGCAGGGAAGGGAAATAAGAGGCCCCTGAGAATAAGCTCCCCCCAAAGGCAAGCATGTGTTAAAGTGTAATGACTGCTCTGTGAACTGTGGGAAGGAAGCCCCTGCCTGCCAGTGTCCAGTGAAGTTGAATGGTGCTCTGAAGAAGTCCAGTTATAATTCCCAAGAAGGTAGGGTAAGGAGCCGGCTAATAGCTTCACCCATTGGCCATAAAGAAAACTATAGTTCTGTGTGTGGTCAAAATTTTAATATTCATTTTTTGCATAAACTCCTGTGTACAAGTAAGGTATCCTCTCCTGGTCCCAAAGTCTCCCACTGTTGAAAGCAGCTTTCAGATACACTGTGCCCACACCATGCCACCTCTGCAAATCCCTGCTATCACCCCACCATGCCACCTCAGTAAATCCCTGCTTATTTAGTGCAGGTGTTCAGTCAGTGTTGGATATTTCTGGTAAATTTTGCTGACCCGTATTGCATAGCCAGACCAACCTCAACTATATCTTTCTCCCAGAGGAATAAGAAACACTTAATGTAGGGTTTTTTTAGTTCATGTTAACCTAAGCTTACTGATTTTAGCTTTAAAAAAAATAACGATGGATAAAATTATAAACCCTACAATATTTTATTTTAAGATTTGGGCAACTTATGAGAGAGTGTTTGGTAGCATAAGATTTTTTTTAAGCTTTATTTTAGCCAAGTATTTTTAGGTTAATCATGGGGTAGGATATCTAAACCAATTATTTCAATTTTAGTACCATGTAATCTTTCAGGGAGCATAATTAAAGACTCATATGCTCCCGTGTGTGTGTGTGTGTGTGTGTGTGTGTGTGTGTGTGTGTGTGTGTGTGTGTACACACACTCAGGTTTTGTTGAGAGAGGAAAAAGAGTGCCATGTATATAACAAATTTTCTTTTTTTAGGTGAGAATCCTTTGGCTGACGACCAGAGCAATCACGACATCAACTCTGTGGCCGGCGTTCTGAAGCTCTATTTCCGGGGGCTGGAAAACCCCCTCTTTCCTAAGGAAAGGTTTAATGACCTGATTTCTTGTATCAGTAAGTGAGCTTTCCTCTCTTCCTTGTCTCTTGGTCTTTTCTCAACAGAATTCTTTTCCTCATCAACTTCCTGGAAAGGCCAACCACCCTCCTTCACCTACACACACACACACACACACACACACACACACACACACACATTGACTCCATCACCACCAAACCTCTGAGGCCATTTGTTTCCATTCTGGGTCCCCTGTGAGTCACCTTCACCCTAAGCTGAGTGGACTTTGCTTCTGAACACCCTCAGGCTTCATAGATCTGGGTGCTGATCACTTGGCACCAGAAAAAGAAAAAGGGAAAAAAAAAATGCCCGGTGAGAGAAAACAATATATGCTTGGAAATGTAGCCTTTTCATTCTTGATTTTCTCAATTGATATTAAAAGATCTTTTAATATTCCTTCAAGGAATAAGGTAAAATGAGATAAAAGGCCATTTGTATGGTACAAGAACACCCAGTGCCAATTACCTGTCAGCAGGGAGCCCGAGCCAATAGGCGGATTGCGTGCAATATATTATGAGGCCCGAGTTAGTCATTAGCCAAGCACTGGTATTTTTTTCTTCAGTGGGGGATTTTGACACTTCACAGAGGAAGCTGAAAATCATGACAGAAGCATTAGTTCCTAACCACAGTCGGATTCTGTGAGTCTGTAAATGCAGTACCTCTCGAAGTCCATGTTCCCGGGGAGGTCAGCTGACCTCATTTCACACGTAACAATGAAACCTCCCCTAACTCCACCCCCTGCCCAGATGCCAGCCCCGCTGGAAAGAACCAAACTGGAGGTGTCTCTAGATTTCTTCCTTGGCCATGCCGAGAAAGTTCCTCGTGTCCTTGCCAGAGAGGTTAAGTCTTTCTGTGGTTTCCTGAGGATAGACATCACGTCAACCAAAATGCAACAACTGGGCAATGACCGTGGGCCGGCATTACCAACTAGTGTTATTGAATCCTTTTACACTTTCATGGGTGAGAAATGGTATCCCATCGTTGGTATTAATAACCTAGGTCACTGGGTCAGGAAGATCTAGGTTCAAATCCTGGCGTTGCAAGCTTTGTAAACTTGAGCGAATGCATTCTTCATCTTACTAAATAACGTGTTTCTTTTAACTTCATAGAGTCTATGTGAAGAACAAACGAGGTAATTCAGGGAAAGTGTTTAGTGTTTACTTAGACAAAGTAAGCCTCGACCATGTCGCTAGTCATCACTTCTGTGATGGCTGTGCCTAAGGAAAACTCAGGTCATGCGTGCCGATACCTGGTACAACCACGTAGCCATCAACTGTTCTGCCGAATGTTTCTGTCATAATTGTTTTAGGTGCCTTTAGAAATTAAGTTGCTGTGTCCAAAACATATTGGTTCCAGTGTGACTTTTCTGCGATAATCAGTCAAGATTTTTTTCACCAAATCAGGCTTAGCAAAATAGGTAGACTATGAAAGAGAAAATGAAAAATACATAGAATTTTTGTGTACTATTTGTGTATGTGCTCATATGTGTGTTTTTATGTATGTTGTGTGTGTGTACAGGTGTGTGTGCATGTATGTGTGTGTATATGTGTGTGTGTGTGTGTGTGTGTGTGAGAGAGTGATGGTAGGGCACACATGTCATGGTGAGCATGTGGAGATCAGAGGACAGCCTTCAAGAGTCAGTTCTCTCCTCCACTGTGGAACCCAGGGATCCAGCTCAGATTGTCTGGCTTGCACGTCTACCCATCTCCCTGGTCTTGGTGGGTTTTTGTTTTGTATTGTTTTTTTCCAGTATTGAGGTTCAAACCAAGTGCCCTGCATTCTACCACTGAGCTGCGTCCCCGTTCCAGAAGACACAGGAGATGTCAGGGCTGCAGATCTCCTGGTGCATTAGCAGCCTGAGGTTTAACTGAGCTGGGGTTGTGACCAGGGTGTGAGTGGTTTTGGGAACGCTCTGCTTACAAACTCCCACCTGCCCTCACCGAGCAGTCGTCTTCACTCACGTTTCCCTAACAAGTCTGATGATGTTTAGTGGACCGTTCTTCAGCATGGGAGGACTTTCAGGGACTCGGTTTTAGACCTCCCCTTACATAACATGCCTTTACATAACAAGCCCTTCTCTTCCAATCTCTAACCTCTTTAAAAGGAGACGACTCCTGGCTAATACTGATGGATCTCCCGATCAGCGGTTGTTCCTTCCATAACTTCCATAACTGTGGCATATCTGCATTTCCCCCTAACTTTCCAATGAATTATTTGAGAATGGCATACCACTCATTATTAAATCTCCCCCACCGATACTACAAATTTGTTGTCATTGCTGTTGCTGCTCTGTGTGTGAGACAGACAGACAGACAGAGCTATGGAGCATATATGGCGGACAGCTTTCAGGAGCTGGCCCTCTCCTTCCCCTCGGTTGAAGCAGGGTCTCTCTAGGTGTTTCCTTGCTGTCTACTCCAGGCCCGCTCTTCTGCACCCTTGGGGACAATCCTCCAGTCTGAGCCTCCTATCTCCCCGTAAGGTGATGGGTTTACAGATTCTCACCACTGCAGCCAGACTTCTGGTCTGTTAACTCAGATCCAGAGGTTGAACTCAGACATCTCGCTTTTTGTACCCAATACTACAAACTTTTGACTCCTTGAATCAAACTGGCATCTTCTCTGCAATACGCGGAGCTTTCTGGCGACTCGAAGACTTGATTCTTGCCTTCAAGAAACTTAAAATCTAGCAAGAAAGAGACTATGGTTATGAGTGTCTGCAGCATAAGTTGGAATTGCTGGGGATGCTAGGGCTGAGAGTTCTACTGGGGAGCGTCTCAGGGTAATAGACTGTTTTTACCTGTGACATCGTAAGCTTTGCGGCAGTTGAGTTTGATTTTCCTATTAAGGTCATTTCATGTGACAGCTCATGTGGGAAGGTCTCCCTCTCATCGTTCCTGGGAGCTTATGTAAGTTCCTAAAGCCCCAACAGCTTTCTGCTTACCTATTTTTGGATTGTTTGAAAGAATCCTGCGTGTGCGCACAAGTTGCTATCCTCTCTCTGTGTCTCTGAAGAGCCTCACTCTTGGGAAGCTGAGATGTGTGCAGTAAAGGGGGGTGGGTTGTAACAGCGTTCTCTGTGGCTAATGTACACGATCCGTTCCCCACCTCACTGGAAATTTCTTTGAAAGAATGACTGACCCGCGATGAAGTCAGATTAAATACACATTGGAAAATGGCGGGCTTCCTTGTTTCTCTGGTTCTCACCCAAACATGGTTTTGGTTTTTGCTTTTTCAAACTGGCTGCCTTCTGAATGGCTTTGTGGGAGCTCCAGCTCACACCCGCAGTCTGGGCAGCTTGCGGCATGACCATGCAGCATGGTTCTGGATTCCTGAGGTATCCAGCCAAGCAGTTATTCAAGTAACGCATGGATGTCTTTTTCCTGGCCTGGTTGTGGGCCCAGATGAAATCCTTACACTTCATTTTGCATAATGCATTATCACTTAGGTGACTTCTTAGACATGAGAAAACAATTTTATAGCAGGAGATTTTTTTTCTGTCACAGAAATGACTCTAAAAAATACACAAAAAGCACACAGGACAAAATACTGTCCCCCATAAGCCACACCACCCAAAGAGAATCGGTGATGTGTTCCTTCTGGGCATTTGTGCATCCGTGTGCACACAGTGCTTTTGAAGCCAGCGTGGAGCTGTTCCGTCCATACCCCTTGTGGTGTTCCGTCTTCTTAGCATCTACAGGAGACAGTAACCCAGTGACCTCCCTGTAATTAATCACCCAGCTTTAACAATTCCTGCTGCTCGCCTGGTCCAGCTCCACCGGCCCCAGCTGTCTTCCCTGTGACATAATCTCCTGTATCGGTGTGTATATGTCTCTGGGAGATTGGAAATTCTCCTCCTTTCTTCATCAAAGTTCTTACCACGAAACGGTAGTTGATCATTTCAAAGTGGTTGGAAACGCCTTAGAAACACATAGAACAAATGATAACCCCGCTGCCCAGAGAGAAGCAGTTGTGTGAGAAACATTTTGTGTGTGATAAGCATCCTCATGTTGTATGTTAACACAGGAGATGAATGACCCTGAGACCAGTTATACCCTACAGTCAGCGATTTCTCAGAACCATCAAGTAGGCAGTCTGTGCTTTTTTACAGTTAGCTTTTATTACGCAATTAATCTATGATCACTGTTGAAAATTATTAAATAAACTAAGAACATCCATTGGTCCTCTATGCGGGGAGAATGACGAGACGGCTCTTTCGGCGCCTCTCAGATGGTGCACATAGTACCGATATATGTGATACATGCATCCAAAAGCAGCTTTATGTAATAGTTCTTATAGTGTATGGTTCATCCACTGAGGGTAGTTTTAAACAACCATCATCATGATCGACTTTGGGATGTTTTCGTTGTCTCAGAAAAAAGCCCAATTAGCAAACCCTGGCAATCGCTTTCCATTCACCTGTAGCCATAGCCACCCCCGCAACCACTAACCTGCTCGCTGTCTCTGTAGATTTTTCCTTTGTGCTCATTTCACATAAATGGACTTACACACCTGTGGTCTTTCTGAGTGGATCTTTCTCGTAGTGCGTATCATAATCAGACTTTCACCCTATGTTATTAGAAAAGAATCATCCCTTGTTTGAGTATACCATTCCTACACGTCCCAACTAAACAGTATGAAGTTTCTTTTCAAAATGATGAAAATATTCTAAAATTGATGGAGATGATGTGTAATGCTGGTATATCAAGTTCATTAGCTTTATCATTTAAATCAGTGCATTATATGGTGTATGGATTATAGCCTAATAGTGCTGTTGTAAGTTAAATTACATCATGGTACACTACCTTTGTGAGTTTATACTTTTAATATGATTTTTACTGGTCATATGATGGCTTCTATTTTATGTAACAAATCCTACTTTTTGTATTGGCTCTGGAGACTTAGGAACATAGAGAATACACATTTGTGTTTCTTTGTACGTGTATCTATTGTCCACTCTTGGTTCTTTCATTGAAAAAAAAGCCTTTGAACTCTTTATTATTATTTGTGTGTGTGTGTGTGTGTGTGTGTGTGTGTGTGTGTGTGTGTGTGTGTGCCTGTGTCTGTGTATGTGAGTGCAGGTGCCCATAAAAGCCACAGGGCCCCTCTGGAGCTAGAGTGAGCCACCTGAGCATTGAACACAGCCCCTCTGCAAGAGTAGTGAAGCGCTCTTATCCGCTGAGCCATCCTCCCAGCCCCCGAGCTTTTGAACTCTTCCAGACACTCTGTGTGGCGGCTGGTATAAATTGTCTGCTTTTTCTGACGTACCCCACGGCTCGCTCTCGCTCTCTCAGATTCTCCATTTCTATTTGATGACATCGAATTGTATTCTTGAGGTTTCCTTGATCTCTGAAAATGCTTGCCAGCTGAGTGTCCAATAGGTGACGCTGTCTGAGGATTTCTGAAGGAAGACTCGGCTTCTCTCCCGTGCTCAATATAAAGTCAGCAGATCAGGGATTATTATTTGTGATTTATATAAAATATGTACTTTTTTAAGTGCTGCTGGTGAACCAGAGGAGAAAGACATCAGCTGTTTACAGTTTTCCGTGTGTGTATCTCTTCCCTTGGAAAGCTAGGGGTAACTCGGGTAAAGGCGAGGCAAAGATCCTTCTCAATACAAGTGAATAAGTCATACCTTGCTGTTGGTAGTGTGAACCTACGTCTACCTTGAGATTGATAACCTCACCCTGAAAGCTGATGGTGGCTCTCTGGGGCTCAAATACGTACGTGCCTGTGCCTGCTTTCAGAGTCCCTTCCTGTATGTGGCCACCAAAGGCTTCCCTTCCCTCGTCTTCACGCCCAAGGAGAAATTGCTGCCTTGTGGTGTATTTTTGTTTCCTGGCAGATGAATCCTTTAGCAAAGAGTGCCACCAAAGAACCCACATGAGGGGGTCAGTGGCCACTGGGGCTTGTTGTCTTCTTCTCGACTAGCTCCAGGTTTGTGGCGTTTTTCACACACGCGCATGTTCCTAGAGCTGTCACCCTGCGGCACTGTGGAGTTGGGAGGCTGGCGCAAGCGCCCTGAGTTGCTAGGAAGAGAACATAAATTCACCTTGGGAGCTTTGCATGCATGACCAAGATTGGACGCATGCCACGTTCACTAACTGCATGAGGTCTTCGATTGTGGGAACAAAACCCAGCTTGAAAGGAATCCAGATGAGGTCTGATTTTCCTGATGCCTCCTTATGTGGAGAATAAAAGATCCGTCTTTCTGTCCAGTACAGCTGAAGGACCATAAATTGCCAACCAGAAGCACACGTTAATCAATGTGTTGGTGGCCCACAAATTCAGCCCTGCTAACTGCACTCAGGAGAGGAAGTGGGCCGTTTGTAGCAGAGCTGAGCTCCTGTAGGCTGCACACACAAGCCTCCTGCTCAGCCCACCAGGAAACAGCTAGGTGCCCATTGTAGGACTGAGGCCTTGGTACGGATGCATTTGCAGCAACTTCCAGGAACACCAACAATGGTTCTTTCTGTGTATGTGTGTATGTGGACCATAGTTGCAGGCATCATACATTGGCATTACAAAATCTATTGTCATCTTTTGGGGGTCCCTCTTTTATCCCTATTGCTGTTCACATCTAAACCTTGCATTTGCACCCTAGGGGCTCCCCAGTTTTTCTTCTTTTATGGTGAAATGCGTGATAAAATTCACCGTCTTTGGGTGTGCGGCAAAGTCAGATGTCTCCACCGCATTGTGAATCCATTGTCGCTGTTTATTTCTAGAATGTTGATTCTTCCCAAACAGAAACATTGTGGCCATCAAACAAGAGCTGCTCCTTTCTTCTCTTCCCCCGAGGCCCTTGCATCTCTGCTTTATGATTCCGCCTAATACAGGTGCCTCATAGAAATGGTGTCATGTCATAATGGTCCCTTTGTGTATGGCTTGCTTTGCTTAGAGTGGCATCCTCGTGGTTCATCCATGGAATGACCTTCCTCTTTAGGGCTGAGTAATATTCCAACGCATGTCTAGGCCACATGATGTTTATCCATTCATCTGTCTATAAATATCTGGGTTGCTCCCACTTTGGGCTATTACAAATAATGTTACTGTGAATCTCGTGTAAATTTTGAAACTGCGTCCAAAGAGAAGGGACTGAGTTTAGAACAGATTAAGAGGTTCTTAACATCAGACTGACGCTTCTGGAGGCTCTGAGCTCACCTTGCTTCACCTCTGGAGTGGCATTCCCTTTACAAGATATGACAGACATTAACGATAATTATACAGGCTAGGCAGTGGTGGCACACACCTTTAATCCCTGCACTCGGGAGGCAGAGGCAGGTGGATCTCTGTGAGTTCAAGGCCAGCCTGGCCCACAGAGCAAGTTCCAGAACAGCCAGGGCTACATAGAGAAACCCTGTCTCAAAAGACCAAAAAGGAAAAGAAAAAAAAAATCCTCAATAAAAAGTGGCACACGGTCTTTCTTGGTTTCATCAGAACCGGCAGGTGCCTTTATATGTAGCCATCAAAGATCAGAGGTCACCGCCTACCTGGCAACAGTAGTGAGACAGTTTGTCTCTGCAATGTATTATCTCCATGGGTATAGTAAACTTGGTAACTGTTTGGTTTAGAGCATGAATATAAAGTCGTTTAACCAAAGTTCTCTAATGGGTCATGGGGAAGTGCTACTAAATTCCAAGTTGTTTGATTTTTTGTTACTTACGTGTCTATGTGTGTGCCTACATAAAGTTTATGTACACCGCATGCATACAGGAGCCCAGAAGAGGGCATCAGATCCTGGAACTGGAGTTACAGGCAGTGTGTGCTGGATCTGAATCTGGGTCTTCTGCAAGAGCTCTCAAACTGCTGAGCTTGCTCTCCGGCCCTCAACGTCAATTTTTAAGAATGGAGCATAATGTATATGATTTTACCTCAGGGAGAGATGGTTCTTTTTAATAGAAAACAGCAACCACCTTAGACTCTTTAAAGTCAGCTGCTCGGTTAATAAGCCTTCAACCAGTTAATCCCTGACATTAAAAACCCTGCAGCACCCAGTGTCCTGGATACATAGTCCTCGACTTGCAGACCACCTCAATTCAAGTATTTCATCTTCCGTCTCCATCCAGTGTGGTCCCCAGGTTCACCCCGGGTTGTTGTAGGAGGTAAACTGCCTATTCTGAGCTTCTGCTTTGATCCTCCTGGAAATACACAGAGTGCCAATACTGACAACTTAATTATTGCATTGTTGTGACCTGAATTTCTATACCTGCTTAAAACTTAAACAAAAAAAATGATAAGTATGCTATACTTTTTTTCCCAGAAGAAATAATCAAAACCACTGCTTGGAAAATATATTAAATATGTATTTATATTCAGTAGATGGTGCCTCCCCCTAAATCCCATTGATGGTGGATTTTTTTTTTTCCATTTTAAAATACATTACCAACAAGAAAGTGAAGTATCCATATCCAATTCATGATAACTACACTCATACTATTAGTTACTGATTCGGGTTAAAAGAACAAAAATGTTACAGGAATGTTAATCATATGATATTTTCACATTCCAGGGAGAGGGTTTCTGAACTCCTGTTTTCTGGGAGCTGAGCAGGCGCCATGATGTCCGGCTGAGGCATCCACAGTGGTGGGGCCCACGTGTTCATTCCTACTGACCCTGATAAACTATGTGCTGTGCTGCAGACTGATTTGTGATTGAGCAAAAGTATTCCGATATTTTTCATACCTTTCCAGCTGCATGGAGTATATATAAAACAAAATGTCCACTGTGATACTGAATAGAAAGCGGCTTGAGTCAGCACTCAAAATTCCAGGAAAACGAGCTTGGTATGAGTAATCAGGCCCACAGTTTCCAACCTTGAATGCCCAAAAGAATGCCCAGTGATTTTGAAACCCTCCCCATGTGAACCCAAGTCAAGGTCAAGTATCACAACTTAATTCGAAAGAGAAACTATGTGGGAGAGATTCATAGTCATCCAAGGGAGAACTGCTAAAACTTCCTAGGGAAATGAGCAGTGAGAAAATCAGTGGGTCACCATGTTAGAACTGGTGATCACAGCCTTGAGACTGGATGAGGTTGCCACTAGCAAGAAGAAGGAAACAGCCTGAAGGAAAGTCCGTGCCATGGTGTCAGCAGCTCAGGACAGAGTCAGATACATCAGTATCTCAGAGCAGTTAAGGACCAACCATAATACAAAATCACAGGAAAGCTTCAAAATTATTTCAAAACATTGAGATAGATAGATAGACAGACAGACAGATACATTGATATGTGTGTATATATATAGATATATATAGATATATAGAGATTAATAGATACAATATATGTTTCTGTGTATGTATATAGATATATATGTTGATTTTTATTGATAGATGGATAGATACATACATTGATATGTGTTTGTGTGTATATATCTATTTATTGACATATATAGATATATATGTTAATATATATTGATGGATGGATAGATACATAGATATGTATTGATGCTATATCCTAGAAAGCTGGCTTAATTTACAAACAGCAAGAAGGCATTGGGACCATATGAGTGGCCAGATATAGTGCTCACAACAGGCGGGGGGGGGGGGGGGGGGGGGGCGGGGGGAGAAGTGGTTTCTAAATGCTAAAGGACTCTAAATTACTCAAGGCCAAGACCATGGCCATCACACAAAATAAACCAGTGTGGTACATACCTGTTACCCCAACACTTGTAAAGACCAAAGGATTTTTGAGTTTGAGGTCGTCAGGGTTACGTGAGACCCTGTCTCAAAAACTAGGTAGAGAAAGGGGCAGGAAGGCAGGTAAGGACCACATGCAAGTCAATTCCGGGAAACCAGTGAATGCTGACAGGCCAGAGGAGACACCACCCCTGGAGACGTGGTACACACAAGTGACTGCTTCCTGCGATGGTCAAGGTGCCGCTGATGTTTGAGTGTGTCCCCGTAAGGGGTGCTGCAAAGATCTGCTCTAAATGTGACCTGAAGGGACTCTGACCATGTCCTCTCTGTCCTGCAGGAATAGAGAATCTCTATGAGAGGGCGCTTCACATCCGCAAACTCCTCTTGACCTTGCCCAGGTCGGTCCTCACAGTGATGAGGTACCTGTTTGCCTTCCTCAATCAGTAAGTACCCCCGGGTTCCGTCACAACACCCGTCTACATTCTGTTTGTGTTCTCAAATGCTGTAAAATGTGTGTTGAGTTGCATTCATCAGCAGAGTCAAAGGGGGAGGGATTGAATGTAAGCTGAGGGACCAGTATTTACCTCCGGAGATCAAGGACTTTTTATGATACATGAAAAGTCTGGAGAAACTGTGGCTGGCTGTACATGCAAAATATCCAAAATACTGTTATAAATAACACTTTGTAGTGAAATATGTGCGTTTTTTTCCAACTTCCATCCAGAGCTCATGTCAAAAACGTTTTTGTCAAAATGATGTAAACCACCTTCTCCTAGCAAAAAATTCTGTCTTTTTTTTTTAATGTTGTAGTCGAGGATGGAGGGGGACTGTAGATGGCTTAGATATCCATCCAAAAGCAGCATTTTCACAAATTCACTGTAATGAGGCCTCGTCAAGAAGAAAGTATTTGTCTTGCAGTCGCTCGCTACAATGTTGAAACAGGAATCTTAAGAAAGCACTAACATTGTTTGCAAAGAAACTTGATTCTTGATGGGGCAACTTGGTTTTTGGTTGTGCTGCTTGCTGATGAGTGGGTTCTGTAGGCACGTCTCCCTCAGATCCCATCTAAACGTCTTCCTGTTGTTCCACATTTCAGTTAAGCAGCTAGACGCTCACAATTCCTGAGAGTCAACGGCTAAGCGAGCAGAGGGACATGCCTTCTCCCTCTACTACAGATTCTTCCCTTCTTCAAATGAGGATTTTTTTTTCACCTGTATTTCACTCACAGAAGCCACGGAGATTGATGACAACCCTGTTGGCTAGTCCTGAAATCAAACCCACTCAGATTGGCCACAAGAGCCACAGAGCATACACTAGGTAACTGCTTACAGGGAGAACAGAACTAGGCTCCAAGGCTCACCTTAGGGTACCTAAAACATTCCCAAAGGACAGTAGGAGGCCGTTTGGACAGAAGTGCTACCTTAAAAAGGGAGATGAATTGCATCTACCATAAACAGATGCTGCCCGTGGCTACCTTTGACTAAGCCTGGTCACCTAAAACATTGTCAGAGTCCAGGATCACCTTGAAAATGCATGATTCCCTTCCCTCAACAACTGGTGTGGACCCCCATGGGGTCAGCAGTGCTATTCCTGTCCAGTTTTTCTGACACTCCAGAGCAAAACCCACTGTGAACTAGTGACGACCCACCATGACCTAGGAAAGCAGTGTTCCGACCAAGAAAGTTCTCGAGGCTTTAATGTAACTCTTGGCAAAGCTCAGGTAGATGGCAAAGTCCTCATGAGTCGGGCAGCTGGCACTGTGTTCACTGGTTCTGCCCACAGATGCCTGCAAGGAAAGATGAACACCCACCCCCCCCCACACACACACACACACCCCCAGAATACTTGAAGCGGGAATCCTGAAAAGGGGAATGAGCTGTTCTTTTCTCCTGTAAAATCAAAACTGGGAAATCACAGTTTAACTCGAATTTATGTTCTTCAAGCCAGGACTAAAATAAAGACCTGGAAAGATTAAGCCCGACTCTTCCCACTGAGCTCAGGTGTGAGTTTTGAAAACTGGGCAATTCTTATTGCGGAATCTCGCTTCTTCCCCTGACCCGGTGTTTCAAGGTGTCACTCGGTCGCCCAGTGGCAACGTGAGGCCTTTTTTTTTTTTTTTTTTTTTTTTTTTGTATATTTGAGAAATGACAGAAGGGAAGGGCATATGGTAGCTGTGGGGATCATTCTTTACATTTCCCCTCTCTCCGCCATCTCTTTATGTCCATTAAAGGCTGAAGTACCCCGTCAGGTGGCGTCCTGGATGCTAAGCGTCTGTCACTACCTCACAAAGGCGGTGGCGTCTCCTTCTTCTTCTCCCGCTTGTGTTCTGTTCGCCTGCATTTTGCATTTCCTTTGGTGGCTGACATTCTATACACGGAGAGCGAGCGCGCGCCTCCAAACTCCCCGGAGAATTGCAAATTCCCTGTGTGTTAGAAGCCCGGCATTAAAGAGCTGGCTGGCTGGGAGTCGCCTGTGAAATATCTGTAATATTTCATAAAAATAATCGTCAACATCCGTAATGCTGAGTTGGGAAATTAGTCGCAGCCAGCCAGCACTGTGCCCGGAGCTTTCCCACCTTAGATGGGACAATAAGAGAATTAAGATTTGCCCTTTTGTCTCGTGCCTTTTTCAGCATCTTGGGTGGCATGAGTTGTCACCTAGGGTGCAGACACAGCGGCAGGCTATCGGCCCACAGTTCTTCTTTGCCTCCCCACAAAAAAAAGACGGTTTGCTTTTATTCTACTTTTTTTTTTTTTGCAAGATTTATAAGGGGGAAAAGTTGAAAGCTAAGATATCTTTGAGTGGTAGGGCAAATGTAAAGATAGAATCATCAGGCTTTATGGAAATTGCACTGCACAGCCCAGATTCCCATGAGCTGCATTTATGGGCCGAGACCTTAATATTTACCAGTGAAATTCATCTCGGTCCTTACCTCTATTACAGTTGATGTCGTTTTTTTAAACTCAGGGCTTCAGGAAGCGCCTCTGACTCAGAGAGAGAGAGAGGATGTGTGTTCCCCTCTTCTCCTAACTAGTCGATCTTAGTCTGTTTGGGGGGGTTCGATTAAGTGGGATGGAATATCGTTTTTCCTCTAATGATAAAAAGAAAACAAATAGTTTAATCTGTGCTTTCAAAATACGAGGTAAGGGTGCCTGGAGAGATGGCTCAGTACTCTTCCGGAGGATGTGAGTTCAAATCCCAGCACCCACAACCACCTGTAGCTCCAGGGGACCTGACACTCCCTTATGTCCTCCATAGGGCACCTGCATCTCATGTGTACACACAGTTTATTTTTAGTAAAATAAATTCAAAATATGAAGTCTGCTGTTAAGTACTTTCCTTTCCCAAACCCCTCTTTTACAGCCTTTCCCAGTACAGTGATGAGAACATGATGGACCCTTATAATTTGGCCATTTGCTTTGGCCCGACATTGATGCCTGTCCCGGAAATACAGGACCAAGTGTCTTGCCAGGCGCATGTGAACGAAATCGTGAAGACCATCATCATCCATCATGAGACGATTTTCCCAGATGCTAAAGAACTGGATGGCCCCGTGTACGAGAAATGCATGGCTGGAGGCGACTACTGGTGAGTCCGTGAGCAGGTTCCTCCCTCTCAGGGACACATAGCTACTGACGGAATGATACACGAGAATTGTCCAGCACTGAGGAGGTGAAAGTGCTCGCTGCTGAACCGTGGGGACCTGAGTTCAGATCCCAGCATCTACGTAAAAGTTAGGTACAACAGTGTGTCTGTAACTCCAGCACTGAGGTGCAGAGGCAGGAGGATGCCGGGAGCTCACTGGCCATCCAGCCTCTCCGAACAGGGAGCTCCAGGTTCAGTTAGACCCTGTTTCAAAAAAATAAGAGGGGAAACAGCCAGGCAGTGGTGGTGCACGCCTTTAATCTTGGGAGGCAGAGCCAGGTGGATCTCTGCGAGTTCGAGGTCAGCCTGGTCTACAGAGAGAGATCCAGGACAGGCACCAAAATGACACAGAGAAACCCTTTTTTGAAAACCAAAAAAAAGAGAGAGGAAACAAGAGAGAAAATCATTAGTCTCAGGCTCTAGCTTCTACATGGACACATGAGGCACTACACCAGCATACACGTGCATACACCACATACACACACACACACAAATAAAATAAAATGCCCATAAGCTACCAGTGCTTTTAATTTATTTTAAAAAGGAGAAACAGCAGCAGTGGCATTTAAGTTAGAACAGTGAAGTCCGTGGCACTAGGGGCTTTATTGTGGAAGCACACTATTAGTGGACTCTTGTAGATAATTTTGACCTCTCTGGGCCTCTGCAAAGAATTAAGGGTTTTGCCTTTTCAGAGTCTGCTGGCCAGCCTGGTCTACATGGCAAGTTCCAGGACAGGCAGGGTGACATAGAGAGACACAGAGACAGAGCATGAGTTCTTGATGCCAGAGAGAGCGATGTTAATATTTTATTACTGGACTAAATCAAGAAGAGATGAGTAACGGAATTAACAGATTTCATTTCCCTTCTTGGGTTTTATTTGGGTCTGGGTTTTGGTTTTTCTGATGCCGGGGATCAAACACCTCATGCGTGCGCTTGGCAAACACTCTGTGCGTCCCCAGCCTTATCAGATAGGTTTATTCCGTGACAAGTATCTTCGTGTTCTCTTTTCACGGGAGCCCCGTCGAGCAAATATATTTCTACTCTTGTTTATTTTCACTTTCACTCTTAACAAAGAAGTATTATAGTAGTGCGGGTCAGTGTGAGCAAATTTACATTAATGTGTTCTGAGACATTTTTAGCATGGTGTCTCTTCCCAGCCACGTACATGAGAGCGGAGTCCACGGAGTGATCCTGAATGGCGGGAATCTTAAAATGTCTGTGCTCGTTGTGTGATGATTGACATGTGGGTTCCGGTCATTTTTCTATGTGAATAACGAAAGAAGTCTCAGTCCTTGAGGCGCTCTGCTATGCCAGCGCGCTTATTTGAGGTCAGTCAGGACACCCAATGGTTAGTGTCAACACAAATATTATTTAATGGGAACAGCCCGGGTATCTTAGTCTATTTTCTGTCACTGTGACAGAATACTTCAGACTAATTCATAAAAAAACAACTTCTCACAGGTGCGGAGGCTGGAAGGCTTGCCCAGAACTCCAATGCTCCTCTCGTAAAAGGTGGATGCATACATGTACACATATGTGTGTATACACAAACACATCTACACACAAAAATACACATATGTACATCCACATGTATATACATACACACATGCTTCTACACAGGTACACACATGTGTATACACACATCTACACAGGTACATGCATATACTCATGCACGCACAAATGTACACACATATGTATACACAAACAAAAACCTTTTTACTTTTCCTGTGGTAAAACATCCTGACGGAAGCAACCGAGGGTGAAGGGTTTGTTCTGCCTCACAGTTCCCCAGTGAAGTCCGTCATGGCAGCAGAGGCATGTGGCAGCGGTCTGCACACATCCACACTCGGGGAGCAGAGGATGATGGATGCTCGTGCATTCACACCATTGGGACCCCACTCTTGGCAGGTCTTCCCACCTGAGTCAACCAGGAAATCCCTTGTAGGCGTGCCCAGTTATAGTAACCACCGTGCACATACATAGAACCAGAGTGACGGAGGCGCTGGCGTTCTGAGGTCGGGTTCTCCAGGACTGTCCCTGCACGGGAGTCTCGTGTTTCCTTTGCTGTCATGATCACTCTTTGGTTTCATGTGTGTTCCCGCCAACAGCGACAGCCCGTACAGCGAACACGGAACGCTGGAGGAAGTGGACCAAGACGCGGGCACGGAGCCGCACACCAGCGAGGACGGTGAGTCGCCTGTGTCTGTGTGTCAGCGAAACAGTCCCAGGCTTTTGATCCCGGGTGCTTCGGCTGGGTGTCTGTGGCTCTCGTGTTCTGTCTCAGGACCGGTTACATGCTCCGACACTCCTTCCCTGCTGCGAGGACAGTTGATCAGTCTGTCAGGGTTCTGTTTTCACTCTGGGTCAGCTTCAGGAAATCCTCCTCAGCCCTGCGTCCCGTCCTTGCCCTCCCTCCAAACATGTGACAGACCTCCCCTCCTCATCCATCTTTAAGTATATCATCCGTGTTGTCGTGACCATAGATTCAGTGCTGGGATTAAAGGCGTGCACCACCACATCCAGCCCCTTTTCCTTCAATGTATACTCTAAGTTTTCTCTTAGAACCTCTCTAGCTGTGTGCAAATTCCCCTCTCATCCACTGAATTTTTATATTTGCTGCTTGGTCACTAGTTTTTTTTTTTTTAATTCCTTGATCTTTACTCTTAACTATCGGATCTTTCCCCCATTTCACATTAGATGTCTGATAATTCTAACACATTTTCTGAAGCAAGGCGAAAAAATGCCGAAACAATTTTAAAAATCTCCAAAAATACCATTGAGTTTTGTGTTGACCATCTACTGCTGAGTGTGAGTCTTGCCCTTAGGTGTGGTTTGTATACCCAGGGAGACTGCTGGAGAAAACTCATTTTTCCTTTGTGAGCACTTGTCAATTGGAGCTAGGTTCTGGGTTAGGTAGGAGGGATGTGTCTGCTTCCCCTCTCAGCGCTTGGACCTGTGCACGCTGCCACAGAGTCTGTGAGCTCATGTGTGTGCCGGTCCTGTTATGTCTAGAAGACACCGCTTCCTTGTGTCTCTTACACCCTTTCCACTTCCTCTTCTGAAGGGTTCCCTGAGCTCTGAGGGAAGGATTTGATGGAGACATCACATTTAGGAATCAGTGTGTAAATGCATGTATCCTATCCCGACTGCCCAGTCCCAAATAATCGACTCAAAGGCTGAATATGAATGCTTGGCCAATAGCTCAGGCTTGTTACTAGCTAACTCTTACATTTAAATTAACCCATAGTCCTATTTATGCTTTGCCATGTGACTCAAGGCTTGTTACCTCATTTTTTATATGCCCTGCTTGCTCAGTGGCTGGCTGGTGTCTCTCCTGGCTTGCCCAGCTACTGGCCTGTCAGCTTTTTATTAGCCAATGAGGGTAACACATATTCATAGTATAGAAAAGGATTGTTCCACAGCATTGCTCCAAGGTTTCTGCAGATTCTCTGGGTCTCGGTATTTGTTCCCATCTCCTGTAGGAGGAAGCTTCTCTGGTGATGGCTGAGAAAGACACTGATCTATGGATACAGAAGAATGTCATTAGGAGTCATTTTACTCCTACATTTCTTTAGTAGAGTAGTAGTATTTGGTTTTCCCTTAAGTCTATGGCTTATGTAGTCTCAGGTTCTTTGGCCACAAGAGCAGTGTGAGACATGAGTTCCATCTCATGGAACAGGCCATAAACCTTGTGCTCTTTTCTAAAGTAGAGTGAGTTGGCATTTTCTGGGCTTAAAAGACATGAGTTCTCACTTTAAAGAATATTTCTATGATGTTACTGAAAACTTCTGAGTCCCTACCTCTGATACCATCCTTTTCTTCATCCTAGGTTTCTGTTTATCTCTCAGGTTCATCCCTTTTTTCTTTTTCCTGATGACTTCTGAGTATACCTTTGCTTTCTGTGGTGGAGGAAAAGCCTAGGCAAGGCCCAGCCACCTCTCTCCCCACATACCAGTTCAACTTCATGTCATCTGCCAAATGTCTACCTCTTGACTACAAGAGAGAATCTTTGTTGAACGCGCAACAGTGTAGACCTCATTTTGATCAGGGCCACCACTTTTGCTGGAAAGAAAAGCATTGCTCTCAAAGAACATGTTCTTACCCCCAGCCACAACCTTCAAAGTTCTGTAGCTAAATCAACTGGAGTGTTGGTTGTCTTTTATGACCGTCAGATACATGTGTTCTTTTCTCTATCACAGTATCACCACAGAGACCAAATTCTGTTTTCAAGACGGCAGTAGATGACAAATCTGAAAGGAAACATAACAATAATAATAATGTTCCCAGGAGAAGGCACAACACTATTACACCATAAGTACAATGGGAACATAGGACTTGAGAGCAGCAGGCCATCCAGGCAGCCACTCTGCCGAGTCCGCTTCCCCTTTGCACAGTTATCAGAGCCATGCAGAAGCACTAAGTAATCACATTACAGCCTTGCTATTATTGGTATTGATGTCAGCGTTAGCAACATTCTAAGAGGTCGCCACAGGACCCTAAAGGACCATATGGCTCTCGTTATGAAAGAACCATGGCGCCCCATGCCCTGAGATTGATTTGCCATGCAATGCCCAGACTAAGATGCCTGTAAATACCTTATTGATTGACACTTGACTGTGAAATGACTCCCAGGAGAGTGCAAAGAGTCAAAATAATGAAATTGCTGAAAATGACTTGTTGATCTACTAGGGTCACCAATAAAATGGTCTTCTGATGCTTGTGGCCATCTTTGCAGACCCTGCCCCCATGGTTCAGATACTCCTGGTGCCCGTTATATGAAAAAGCAATAACAAAAAGATGTGACAATCACAGAGGTCGTGATTCTAAAATTGTTTGTGTATGTAATGTACATGTTGTTCTAGAGAGCCTTTGGCCGGCGTTAACATCATAACTCTGCATGCATGGAAGAGGCATGATGAGCCTTTCCCTTCTCCTTGACACATCATGCATGGATTATATATCCTGTCCTCTGATGGTAGCTTTTCATTTTTTAATTTAAAAATATAAGGGCATGTTGGCTTGCAAATCCTATATCGTGAAGTTACTTTTAACAAATTAGCACGTCTTCACTCCATGAACAGACTTGTTTCTATCCTCCAGGGAAAACTGGAGTACAGATTTTCGTATCTCATCATCTCAGATCAAGCAGGATTGATTCTTTCTCTGGAAATTTGGAACAAAGGGTCACTCTATTTAAATGGAAAGTCCTATAAATATTTAATAGTACTCCCATTTGCAAAGTCTTCATAAAATGTGACTTGAGGTGGTATGCTATTACTTTTCTCTTTGCTCTGACAGAATTTCTCAAAGCAGCAACTTGAGGAAGGGGGAGGTTTTTGTTTTTGTTTTTGTTTTTTTGACTCATAGAGTTCAGGAGATGTGGTCCACTGTGGTGGGGAAGACAGGGAGGCAGCCTGAGTGACGGGTGGCTGGCTACCCTGGTATTCAGGAAGCAGAGAATTTGGCTGTTATTCTCTATACAGAGAGAATTCTCACCTACCTATAACTCCCTAACCCTTTCCCCTACAGGTCAACATCTGCCAGGCAGGCACCATATACAGAAGGTTCTTTCATTAAAGAAAGAACAGTGTCCCAAAACAATGCCACCCAACTCTGGACCAACCATGAACACCATGAGCCATATCACAAACACCCAAAGCATGAACATCTGATCTCAAAGTTTTACCCAGTTGCTAAAAAGATGAACATTGTTGTTCTGAAAGCTCTGACACCTTTTTCCACACAGGTTCTAGTGTTATGGTTGGGCATAATGACATATTTACCTCAAAAACAGTCTTCAAATGATTTGCTGTACTTGACACAAGCCCTTCCCATGAAGGTTTTCAATGTTCGTTGCTTTTCCTGTTTCTGCTTTACATATCCCAGAGAACTTTGAATTTATCAAGTGAGAGAGAAGCCTAGCTTTGAACGCTGGGAGGAACGAGCTTTTCAAATGAGTAGTTGTGTTATCAGGACAAGTAGAAAGCAGTTTCCTGAACTGTTGAGAGATGCCTTGACCCCACCACGCTGCCTGCATGTTCTAGCATCTGTGAAACTAACCCATGCCCAGGTTTTAGCAAATGAGGCATCGTTAATTATACAGATGTTCCTATAGGCATACACTCCTTGCCTTTTTCATTTCCACTTACTTTTCAGTAGATGTCCAGTCACGCCTGTTGGACAGCAGGAACAAGAATGGGGGGCTGGTAGGTAGAGGAGGAGAAAGGCTTTGAATGAAGGACATTTCTGCAGTTGGCTAAATCACAAAGCACCCTTTAGAGGGATTTAATTTACTGTGGTCTGTCCGCCTCTCCTTTTAGTATTTAATCACAAGTAAATCAGAGCTGGATTCTCATCCTAAGCCCAGAGTTTGATAGTGTGTTCTCTCTCTCTCTCTCTCTCTCTCTCTCTCTCTCTCTCTCTCTCTCCCCCTCCCCCTCTCTCCCCCGCCTCCCTCCCTCCCTCCCCGAGATTACAGTTTTGTTTGCAGTTGTAAGAAATAACAGAGATATGTGTACGCATCTCTTTCCTCCATTGGTAATATTGTCCATACATACCTCTGGTACAATACCACAGGCAGAAAACTGATCTGATGCCAGCACAGGCCATGGACCACGTCCACATTGCACCAGAGTGTGTGGGGTCACTTAGCGCTGTGTCGTTTATCACACGTACAGATTTATGTGACCACAACCACAGGCAACATCAAGGCAGCTTGCATTAAAAGGAAACCCGTGCTACCCTTTGTAGCCACAACGACTTCCTCCATCACCTCACCTACCGCAGCCCATGGCAGCCACTGGTCTAGTCTGCTTATTTACAGTTCTGTCATTTGAATGAAGGAATTGTACAGTCTACAGTCTTTGAGGTCTAACTTTTTCTTTATTCTATCACAGGCTCTCCCACCAATGTCTCTTGATACCCAGAAAACAGTTTTTGAAACTGAATATTACTTCAAATAGGGAGCCATCTACTGTATGGATGTTTCATCATTAAATCTAAAATTTTCATGAAGTCAAAGAAAGTTTTCTTTAGTTTTGATGTTAATTTTGAGATTTCATACCCAAAAACAAAAAAAAAACCCACAAGGAGAATAAATGCATTTTAATAGCATTTATCATGATGATTTTGTGCATTTTTTTAATCTAATAAAGCCTGTTTGCTGGAATCATGATTTTTTTTTCTGTTACAAATGCTACTAACATGTTGCAAGGATACTCCATCAATGTCAAAAGAAGATTAAAACCACTGTGGAGGATATTACAACCAAGGAGAGGTTTTATATATCATATTGCAAAGTCAAAATCTTTTTATTATACTGTCATTGTATCTCAAATAAGGACTTGAGGAAATTAAGACCTAGTGTATAATTTTTCTTTGCCTAGAAAACTGGTGACAGCTAGAGGTATTTCTCCCTCTCTCTCTGTCTTCCTCTCTCCGTCCCTCTCTCCCTCTCTCCATCAACTGCCTCTTCTTGCCTCCAGTGTGTTGGTTGCCCTGTTCAGCCTGTGTCTAAAGCCTCATGTTGACCGTTCAGAGAAAGCATCGTGCCTTCCTGACTTCCCCTGCATCTTCTGTCTTTTTTTTTTCTGTAGAGTGTGAGCCAATCGAAGCAATAGCCAAGTTTGACTATGTCGGGCGGTCTGCTAGAGAGCTGTCCTTCAAGAAGGGTGCGTCCCTACTGCTGTACCACCGCGCCTCTGAGGACTGGTGGGAAGGTAGACACAATGGGATCGATGGGCTCGTGCCTCATCAGTACATCGTGGTGCAGGACATGTGAGTAGTCCCAGCCTTTCAGCGGCCCAAGTGGAGGAAGGCACTTCCCAAGGAAAGGAGAAAGACACGATATAAAGTGAATGGAAACACTTCATGACATACATAGCTTTAGAAATAAGAAAGTGTGTAAGTGGCGATTGAATAAACAAACATGTATATCTAAACGACTAAACAGAGGGGCCTGTTATCCATAATGTAATAATGTAGATATGCACATTCTCATAGACATTCTAGACACAGGAGCAAAGTATTGAAAGCTATTTCCTAAAAATCTTAACCACAGTTGCCTCTTGGTATAGTGGGGGTTTTGTTGTTGCTTTCAAAACTATGAGCTCTGACTGTCCTAGAACACACTCTGTAGCCCAGGCTGGCCTCAAACTCACAGAGATCCACCTGCCTCTGCCTCCCAAGTACTGGGATTTAAAGGTGTGCGCCACCACACTTGGCTGGTGTAGTGTGTTATAGATGATGACTATTTATTCTTTTGTATGCCTGAAATTTTCTGGCAACATTATTATGTTTAGAATGAAAATCTACTTGAGGGTGCTGGGAAGACACTCAAGGTCAAGAGCACATGCTGCTCTTGTAGAGGACTTGAGTTTGTGAGCCACCAAATCTGGGAACCAAACACCTGTACCTCAGCTCTAGGGGCTAGAGTGCCCTCTTCTGGCCTCCATAGCATCTGCACTCACATGTACATACACACACACCAAACCTACGAACCAAGGAGAGTGGAGTTAACAAAAGACTTACATAAATGCCATTCCTTTTTTTTCCCCCCCACTCATCATGCCAAAGGCTCTCTCACTCACTTCCCATTGTTTCAGGGATGATACATTTTCAGACACTCTGAGCCAAAAAGCCGACAGTGAGGCCAGCAGTGGGCCGGTCACCGAAGACAAGTCTTCATCTAAGGACATGAACTCTCCCACTGACCGCCATTCTGACAGCTATTTAGCGAGGTGAGTGATGTTTGGTCATCGGCTCCTGACCTCCCTTCTGTGGGGACTATGAGGAGCGGTCATACAGTCAGCCTTAAAATATTTTCCCAGTGCCGTAAGATTTTCTGTTTTCTTCTTCATTGAACATCTAGGCAAAGGAAAAGAGGAGAACCACCCCCTCCAGGAAGACGTCCTGGCAGAACCAGTGATGGCCATTGTCCCCTCCACCCCCCACATGCTCTTTCTAACTCCTCAATTGACCTGGGGTCCCCAAACCTAGCCAGTCACCCCAGGGGTCTGTTGCAAAATCGTGGCCTCAATAACGACAGTCCTGAGAGGCGGCGCCGTCCGGGCCATGGCAGCCTGACCAACATCAGCCGGCATGACTCCCTCAAGAAGATTGACAGCCCACCTATCAGGAGATCCACGTCATCGGGGCAGTATACCAGCTTCAATGACCACAAGCCACTGGACCCAGAAACAATTGCTCAGGTATAGTGCTTCTAACTGGATGTTGTGTTTTAAGTCCTTAAGTGTGATGAAGGCAATATGAAACATTTAAAAATGTGCAAACTATGTTTTTATATCGCCATAACTAAAGAAAACAAAGGAAGTCGTCTCACTGACTAATTTAAAACTTGGCCGTGAATCTCTTGACGATCCATTTGCTGCTGGAAGATTAGACTCTAGGCATATTCAATTCGTATTGATTTAAGTAGATGTGGGAGAAATGGAGGAGCCAGGGCATTCATACCCCTCCGCGGTGAACAGCCAGGAAAACACTGAATAAGGACCTCCTAACAGAGCATATACACTCTAAAGCTTGCAGAACAGACAGATGGTTAAAAAAGGACAGGAAGCCCAGAAACAGAATAAATTATTATAAACCAAAGATGACACTTCAACTTGGCAACCGATAGATTCGTCAATAAATAATGTAATCAACAATGGTTAGCCATTTAAAGACCCATGATGCTGGATCTTCTGTACCTCTCTTCTTCCCTTCCCAACACTGACCTCACAGAGGGGCTCTGTCATTCATCTCTAGTGAGCAGAGGTAAAGCAGTGTGGATGAGTTTCCCCATTCCACCATTGGCCCTCTGGTCCAGAAATTGTTATCTAGCAACAGAGAAAGTGGATAGATTTGGTCCTGGACATGAGTAATCTCAACCATCTCCCAGCTCTCCAAAGCTTTAAGATTAAGTGGATCAAGAATTAGTGAGAAACAAGAAAATGGATTAGTCTAAAAAAAAAAAAGAACCCAGGAATCCTTGGTATGACCCATTCCCAAACTATTTTAAGTATCCTAATGATATGACAGAGAATTTTGGATGGCAACTTAGGCTATTTGAGGAGTGTAAGGCATTTGTAAACAATTAAATGAATTTTAAGTATAGAGCAATTTCTTGGCAAAAATCAAAAAGGCTTTTGACCTTTGAGTTTTTCTATTTGGAGGGTTCTGCAAGGCCCTTCAAGACCTTTTTAGAACCAGTTCCATTTAATCATAGCTGAAAGTCATGATTGAAGAAACCCTGAACATCACTGCTGTAGTAAACAGGTGAAATGTGATTCGGTTTAGAGACAGATTTAGGAGCTTAAGGGTAAGAAGACATAATAAAACTATTTAACCCTTTTGCTGCCAGGACCAGGAAATCCTCTCATTGTAAATCGTAAAGACAAAAGTCACAGATAAACCAGTTTTTATACATTCTGTCTGGGGCAAATATTTGGTTTTTATGGTTGGATCTTATCCCTATGTTTAACAGTAAAGGAAATCACATATGAAAAGTAAGTATTATGTCACCTCACAAAACGGCTTCTAGCTCTGTCCTTTGTCTGCCCATCTCCAGCCTTCAGATTCCCACGGGGCCAAAGGAGCATCTCATTCCTTCCTTTACAACCTTCCATTGCTTAAGCATGACAAAAACAAAAACATGCAAGTCCTTTGACCGAGCAAGTCAGGGGGATCCTTGAGTAGACTGGGAGAGCGTGCTGTCTACAGATGATCATCATATCATGATTGGCTTTATTCTGTATTGGAGACTGCAATTTAATATCATGTCTTTGCTGATTCATTTGGCAAATACGTTCAGCATTGACAATGCAGGATCTGTGAAAGGCTTTCTTGACGAACAGGATAAAAGCACCACCGTTTTCCCGAGGTGCTGGCCATACAGTGGGGAAGGACAAGGGAGGCTGTTACACTGTGGGGGAGCAAGGACTGTGGTCCAGGTACACGGCCCAAGTCCCGGGGATGAAGGGAAGAAGCATTGCAGTCAGAACATGGCACGTTTTTCACCCCATCTCAACACTGCCTGTTTTGAACTTCTGCTTTTAAAAAAAAAAAAATCATAAGGGTTGGGGGGAAGGTGAGGGGGACGGGAGGGGGGAGAACAAGGGAATCCGTGGCTGATATGTAGAACTGAATTGTATTGCAAAATAAATTAAAAAAAAAAAATCATAAATTTTGCTCTCTTAACCAAGTTCAGTAAAGAATATTTCTATTCTTATGAAACAACTCTCCAGAACTGTATACAAGTGATTCACATACCTCGTATGTATAGACACATACAGTATTTATATTTTTGTGACGATTTTATTCCCTATAGCACGAGGTGCTCAAGATGCACACATACCATTGCATTTGCCAAGATTCTTTTCAATTCTGAGTGGTACTCCATTTTTTATAAATATATATTTATATACATGGAGAGAAAGCATGCATTATCTTTATCAGTCCTTCAATGGTACACACTTTGCCCTTTGAAATAAATTTTTATAATTCTCCCTTTATACTGAACTGGATTAATGATATATTTGATAAATATAAGGAAATCAGTATTTTTTTAAATTAAATGTATTCCATTTCAATTCTTTTTCTTTGTTGCTATAACAACTTTACATATTTATAGGATGCAATATAACAATTTGGTATAGGTATGTGTAGTTATCACCTCAGCATTGCGGCTCACTTAGTCTCCCGTTATAAACTATGTAACTGAACTATAGCTGCCCAACTGTGCTGTAGACCACTAGAACTTCTTTGTATCAATGTTTGTTCACGACTGTGCAAAAGACACAGTGAAATGTTTTTAGACCCACTTGTGGAATTTCCATCAGTCCAGTGGTTAAAAGTGTGCGTTGGCAGAGCAGTACCGAATTAATTAGCTTATGTCCCTGCTAGAGCTGCGGTTTCTCTCAGAAGGATGGACAGCCCTTGCTCAGTGTTCCAGTCAAAGGGCGATTCACATAATGGTGGCCCCCAGAGAACTTTACCACCGTGCAAAAAGTATCTCATGTTTCTAGATAGTCAGCCAAAATGACAACCAGAGACATTCTTCAAAGAATGATGGTGTTTGCTTGGGCAGGTGTTGCTGTAGTAAATTGGGAGCATAGTCTAAGAGGTGGAGACACCAACATTTGAGAGGCGGAAGAGGACCGACCACGTTATTTGGAAGAGTCGTCCTTGGCTACAAGGACTCATAAACGACAAGGCTGGTGTCCATCCAAGGTTGGACAGACAGTTGCAAGGCAGATGTCCCTGCTGAATCGATGTCCTTGCAGAAGGATTTTTCTGTATAAGAGCACAATGGCCTTTGTCAAGGTGACAGATCTGGCAGGGTTTTTGTGCATACTTTGGCTTTTTTTTCTTTTTAAATCAGGCACACATGCGTAAGATCCCTTCCTTTACAACCTTCCATTGCTTAAGCATGACAAGTGTGCCTCCAGTTTGATCCTCAGATTTTTCATGATAAGAGAAAATGACAAAATAGGGTTACCTGTCACCTGTCCCTGCCCCCCCCCAAAAAAAAGAGGAAACCGTGAGAAAGAATAGATAACTGTAATCCATCCAACTAAAATGACGAAGTGTCCTGATGTACTCCTCGGGGCAGTGGCATGACCCCTGTGGATTTTCAAGTCTAGCTCACCAACTCTGTCTTACTGCTTCCGTTTCTGCGATGAGACACCAAAAGCAGCTTGAGGAGCACAGGGATGGTTTCACGTTACAGCTTGTAGTCCAGCATCCCGGGAAGTCAAGGCAAGAACTCAAGGGGAGCGGGAACTAACGCAGAGGCCATGGCAGAGTGCTGTTTACCGGCTTGCTCCTCCCAAGACCACCTGCCTAGGGGTGTACCACCCACCCGGACGGGGCCCTCCTCCACCAAATTACTCATTAAGAACCTGCGACACAAGCTTGTCCACAGGCCAATCCAGGGGAGGTGTTTTCTCAACTGAGGTTCCCTCTTCCAAAATTACTCTAGCCTGGGTCACGTGGACACAAAACTAGCCAGCCCATATCCTGTCTCTCCCTTGTAGTGGATTTAGAGCTGAGAGGACTTCTCATGGGAGAAGGTGAGTTGACTTGGGAAGTCCCCATGGCTACTGCAGATGACTGACTACCTGGGAGAGTCCCAGGGTTCGCATAGCCCCCAGAACGGTAGGGAGAGTTTCCCAGAGTTCACAGAGCTGTACTGCCACAGACTAGTAACATATAGCCACGGTGACCTGAGTTGCTGTGACATAGGACCCTCCTGCTAGAGAGACATCTCTAATGCCCGGTGACCAGACAGTATCTCCTCCCTTCCTCTGTCTCTGTTGCCATCTACCATGCTCACCTGATGGGCTGCAGCACCATACCCCTGGCTGCCCAGAGCCTAGGCCCAGTAGCCATCCAGGCAGCATCCTGATGTCCCCATCAGTCCAACCCACACACAGCTCATGGGACCCACACATACGCCATGCTGGTCTGTAGACAGCTCGGCACAGTTGCCCTGGCCCCAGCCCCTGCAAGAGCCACGTCCATCACCAGGTGGCAGCCCGGCCTACCAAAAGGCCAGGCAGACAGCTATGGCCCGCAGTGCCGGCATACACCCATGCTGTTCCAACAGCCAATCAGGGAGTGACTCCACCCCCCAGCGAAACCATCAAACCACTGCAGTCACAGACGCCCGCAACCTGGACCAGGGATGCCATCATAGACATCACTGACAAGGACTGTAGATGATGTGCACAGGAGCCACGTTCCTGAGTCCATCTAGAATCAAGGTCAACAACATCCAACAACAAGTGTTAGGCCTCTCTGCAAAGAATAAATAACCTAGAAAATGTGAATATTGCACCAGATGTACAGATATCAACAAAGTGGGGACAGGAATCACAGTAACTCTTGTTAGCTGACCCTAAAGAAAAGGAAATTCAGGCTGGAGAGATGGCTCAGGGGTTAAAAGCGCTGACTCTTCTTCCAAAGGACCTGAGTTCAATTCCCAGCACCCACATGGCAGCTCACACCTGTCTGAAACTCCAGTTTCAGGGGCCCCTGACACCCATGGCAAAAACACAAATGCACATAAAAATAAAATTATATTTAAAAAAAAGAAAAGGAAAGGAAATTCACAGTCTTGAAAACAAATTCGAAATAATGGCCATTACAGGATTGACAACAAGAGAAGACAATTCAGAAAATACAGCTTTTCATGACCTAAGTGATAAAAATCAACAAAGCGATAGAAATCATGAAACAAAACCCAAACACCTCAAGAATTCAGTAAATGGAATTAAACAAAAACAAAACAAAAAACATAATTAAGAGTCACCTTACAAGACTACGCTGAAGCCACAGAACGAATTCCAGGAATTCGAGATGGGCCTTCTGAATGAGGCCAGTCGAAGCAAAACAACAGTAAATAACAATACATTTTTTAAGGTAAATTAATAGGTTTTCTGTCTCCTGACAATAAGTTTCTCCGCCAACAATGCACTAAGCCAGATCAAGCTGAAATGGAGAAGTATAACAACGGGTTTATTGAGAGCAACTCCTGGGCGGGTTCTCTGGTCCCAGAGATTGAGGCCAGAGGAGTTCTGTCCCCAAATGAAAGCAGGGAGACGTTATGGATTATGGGTGAGTTTGTGCCCAAGTCTGGTCAAAATCGAGCGCTCAGGCGGGGACCTGGGCGGCTGGCAACTTCAGGGGAGGAAGCTGCAGAAGCTGCTAAGAACGAGGATCGGGAACTGGGCTTTTTGGTGCCTTTCCTTTGTTCGGAGACTGAGTGGGTGGGGTTTGGAGAGAGAGAGAGCCCAGAATGGGGCTTTCTGGATCACATAGAGGCAAGCTGGAGGTTCCTAATAGTGCCACTCCCTATGGGGGCCATTTTCTTTCAAATCACCACAATTGGTTGAAATCAAATATTTAAACATTATCAATTAGAAAATAATTTGAAATGTTCCACACACAAAGAAGTAGTAAGCATATGAGGATATACATCATAACCTAAACTGGTCATTACACACACATGTATGTACATGTGAGATATATATATATATGTAAATATCACACAGAACTCCCTACATATGTGCAAATTTCTGACTAAATGTTCATATCAATAATTCTGGTTATTATAAACAGTTTTCAATTTTCTATACATCTCAAGAGGGGCTGGTGAGGAGACTCAATTGGTAAAGTTCTTGACACACTTCCTGGAGGATGGATGCTCCATTCTCAGAACCAACTTTAAAAATCAAGGTGTGGTGGTGTGCGCTTGTAAACAAAGCCCCGGGGAGGCAGAGACAGACAGATCCCTAGGGTCTGCTGCCCGCTCAGCCTACCTGAAGTCAATGAGTTCCAGGACAGTGAGACACTCCTTTCTCACAAGAAAAAATGGACAGGACAGCACCTGATGACTGACACCTGAGGTTGACCTCCGGCCCGCACATGCCCACATGAACACACACACACAGATGAAATAGAATTCTGATCAATACCACAAAAGTTACAAGAGACCTCAGTAGGTTGCCTAGTACCTCAGAATGGCAATTGCTTGACCTATGGCTCCATGTGCATTGCTTCTAAGTATCATTTAGAAACACACCAAAGGCCAAAGGTGACGGTGTACACACTCTACAGACTATGAAGTTAAATGTCTATGCTCTTTTACCTGTCTGTTCACTTTGTGTCTATAATTATAAGCCGATTTTTTTTTCCAATAGGATATCGAAGAGACCATGAACACTGCTTTGAACGAACTCCGTGAACTGGAGAGACAGAGCACGGTGAAGCATGCCCCCGATGTCGTGCTGGACACCTTGGAGCAGGTGAAAAACTCGCCCACCCCTGCAACGTCCATGGAATCTCTCAGCCCGTTGCACAACGTGGCCACCCTCAGGAGCTCGGAGCCTCAGATCCGCCGCAGCACGAGCTCCTCCAGTGACACCATGAGCACTTTCAAGCCGATGGTGGCGCCCAGGATGGGCGTGCAGCTGAAGCCCCCAGCCCTAAGGCCAAAGCCTGCTGTTCTTCCAAAAACAAATCCTACTGTGGGCCCCGCGGCACCTTCCCAGGGCCCCACAGACAAGTCTTGCACGATGTAGTAAACCCGAGGTCGTGAGGGGAGGGAGTCTGGAGGTGGAGGTGGATTGGTGACAGGAGTCAGTGATTGATCTGTGACGTTCCTTAGTCTTGCGCTTATAACTGGAGATCTTTGGACTTTTCTATGTTGTCGAATGTAATGCTGTCTGGAACTAGCTAAGTTAACATGGGCATTTGTATTTTGTAACTTTTTTTAATAACTGGACACATGTCGTTTTAAAGACAATAGAAATACTTAGACTTACTTGAAAATCCAATGCTGCGCCCCTTGTCACCCTCACCCCACATGGTATATGGCTTTGGATTTAGTGTGTCCTGCAAGCCAGAGAACCCGCCTTCTGGGTCTTACTGGAGTACCGCCTGCCGCGGTCTGTGACACTTGTGGGAAGAGCGTCCGGAGGGGGTCCAGCCTCTGTTAAAGGTCACAGAGGGAGGCTCCAGGGGACCTTCAGTCCATGGCGTGAAGGGGTTCAATGACGGCTCCTTCCCTAAGGGTCATTTCCCTGGATCTGGGTTAAAGACTCAATGGAAGAGGATGGATAGAAAAAACTCAGATATTGCTTGACCTGGACAAGGCAAAGGAGACCCTGTCTCCCGATCTGTCGACATGACTCCCTCCAAGAACGCGATCAGGCCCTGGAGATGCCCAAGTCCACCGCCTACATTTACAGAGGACTAGAGCAGTCGAATAGTAAGGACTTTCTGGTTGCCCCGCAGACTTCTGCAAAGTTGTTCAATAACTGCCTAAGAAATATCTCTACCTTCCCTAGAACCCCACGTTCCCCTTTACAGCAATGGAAAAAAAAACAAAAAAAACAGGAAATGAATCCTTGGTTCACAGATGTTGTGACGAAATTACCTTGATTCCTTCACACCACAACGGCCCAGTGGTCCCCAAACTGAACCCCCAGCTCTGCTGCCCGCAACTCTTTGAGCCAAGCCAGATCTGGCTACGGTACCGAGGGAGAGCCGTGCCAGGACACCATGGGAAGATGACCTTGGTGGTGCCGGGGTGGGTTCTTCCCAGTTTTGTACCTCAGAACCATGACTTCTCTTCTTGTCCCATTTGTGTTTGATTTGCTGTTTGGGATTTTTGCCTGTGACCTCTACAGAACTCAGAGAGTCAAATGGACTCAGTTAGGAACTTCTTCCTCTGACCTTTAAGCTCATAGTCAATTTTCTTCATCATATATTTACTATATTTTTCCTCTAGCTTAAAAAAGAAAATGGTAGATCGTGTGTGTGTGTTTGGTGCTGGGATTGAACCGGAGGCCTCTCGCATGCTAAGCGCACACTCTACCACTGAGCTTTCCCCGCCCCCCACCCCCATCATTCTGAACACGATTGTTTTTACTAAGGTACAAATCACCATTCTAGCAGCAGCGGATGTCTACACTAGCGCTGCACTTCCTCATGAAGCAAGGTGATGTCTCAGAACAATGCCCTTTGCACACACCATGCACTTCCTTCTAGGTTTAATTTCAAACTGGCGTGCCCACCTCAGTAGCACAGCGTCGACCATAATTCACGTAGGAACAAATTAAGATCTGTACTAAAATCAGGATCATGACTGGTCGCTACCTCAGTTTGCTGATCTAATCATTCTGTTACAGAAAAAAAAATATATGAATGAAATATCCCCTTTCAAAGTCACTCTCCTCATTTCACAAATGTATTGAAGACATACTCCCCACCCCCAGCTACTTCCAGGTATGGTTAGGTTTTAAACCCTAAATTTGCCAGGCAGTAGTGGCGCACGCCTTTAATCCCAGCACTCGGGAGGCAGAGGCAGGCGGGTCTCTGAGTTTGAGGCCAGCCTGGTCTACAGAGTGAGATCCAGGACAGCCAAGACTACACAGGGAAAAATAACTCAAAATTTTCAGAACCATACTTTTTGGCCATCTTAAAATAGAAACCATAGAGACCGAGCCAGGATTGAACTATGCTGGACACTGAGCCTTTTAAACAACCCACCCCTGGCTCCCTTGGAAGTTTATTACCTCCTAAATGAACCCACCATTTACTAGAAAACAATACTGATTCTTAAAACCATTTTTCCTTCTTTGATGGACGAGGCCAGGCGCAGGTCTAAGAAGCTAGCCGCAGCCTTTTTGAATTCATTTGTAAATGCCTTTCTTAAGCTTTAATTTTAGCTTTTCCAATCTTACTCCTACAAAACTGCTGCCGTCTGCTGTGTGTCCCCTAGATCAGGACTCTGCTGCCTTGAAGGACAAAGGACATGCTTTTGTAGACGCCCCCCCTCAAGGGCCCAAGAGCTGGGCCTCTTCCTCCAGGAAATGGCTCCCAGTTTCCTCCCATCCTTCTATTGTCTCCTCCATCTTCGATCCTGTAGACAATTCCAGACTGACTTCTGTCTCTTAAATGAAAGCAAACCTTCAGGGGAGCAGTCACTTGCCCTTCGTTTACCCGATGAGACAACAGCTTTACGTTTTTCCCATCTGACGCGGGCACCCTTCGAGCCCTGCACAGGATAGTTTCAGATCAGGTGTCCCCTAAAGGATCCTAAAAAACTGTCAGTAGAGCTCACTGAGAGCTACAGTCGATGAGACTGGTCACCCTGGCGGGGTTTAAGCCACAGATGTAGCACACAGCAGGAAGGCACAAGGAAAGGAAGAAATGAACCCCAAGGTGCTCTGACCTCTCCCCAATTCCCAGATCTTGGAGACCATACGCAGTTCAGGGAGGGGATCATCTGATGGGCAGATTCTAGTCCACAACAATACCTGACTCCACATTCACAAAATATCCATGGTTGGGAGGACCGTGTATGTGTGTGTGTGTGTGTGTGTGTGTGTGTGTGTGTGTGTGTGTGTGTGTGTGCGCGCGCGCGCGCGCGCGCGCGCGTGTTCCATAGAACCCAGATGCAGATTGGCAAAGCCCTTTGGTGTGAGTTGGGGGTCTGAGGGATGAATTGTTAGGACTGACTGCACATTGTTGGAAGAACGTCACAGTAAACTTTCAAACTGTTGAGGGCACTCTGTGGAGCTCAAGTTCTTGTTGCAGGTCAACACCATTGGCCAACAGTCTTACTTGCGTTCACACAACATAATCTGACTTGGGTGCCCCGTGAGCTATCCACAGAATAATCGGTAGTGAGGTCCCACTTATTCTACTACCGTAGTCAGGAGTAATTATCAATGGATCAAGAACTCCCAAGGGTCAGATGGTCTCCTTTGAGTTTTCTGTCTCTATATATTTGCCAATCCTAAAGTGGCTTTAAAATTCAATTAAGAAAGGGGAAAGAGTTGGGCTGGTGGTGGTGGTCTCAGCGTTTAGGAATGGCTCGGCTCTGATGTCTGCAAACTGAAGGAACCGTGTTCTAACGTCTGAAATCCAACAGTAAAGAGACTGTATCCATTGAGAGTTCAGATTTAGGTTGATATCTATTCCTGAACACAGCAGAAAAGACCAGAAATGCAAGGAAATGCATTTGGGATGCCATCTCTCTCCTATCTGCCACTGAGACTCCGAGACACAGAGAGCCTAGAACTGAAGGTTCTACCCATGTGCAAATAGAACCCCCTCTACTTCAGAACCCCACCCCCACCCCTCAAGCTCCAGCTGGGCTGGAGCATCCGACTTGCGTCAGGATGACCTCAGCGGCGCAGATAGCGAAGCCAGAGAAGCCAGAGGCTGAGCTTAGCTTTCACTCACTCATCCTAGTATACTTTATTTAAAAAAAAAAAGTCTCAGTGGTATCATCTAAATGGATACCTGTATCTTTAAATTATATAGGGAATTTTGTATGTTTAAATAATTGTACTGGGTTCCATAATGCTTATCTTAGAAACTAGTAAAAGAAAAAATATATAAACTGCGCGTCTGTGAGTGCCCCTCCTTAGAGCATTCACCTAAGTTCCGTGTGTGTAGTGTGATGGTTATTGTGGATATTTCCAAGTGTCGTAGGTGGCTGTGTTAACGGGAGACTGCTCTTCCCCTGCATTCTTGATGGTAACTCCTGCCCACGTCCTTCAAATCAGTATTGTCCCTTCCTGTCAGTTCGGTCAGTTGCAGTACTGGTAGCTTCCTGCTTGTGACGGTTACCCAATGGTGTCGATGTACATCTGTAGTATGTACACGTGAAAGTGCCTTCCTATCTTAGAGAACTTTAGCCTTGCTTTTGTACTGTCGCCCACTACGTCCCGCCCACCGGACTGTTCCAAGATGCCCTCTCCACTTGCTCACCACCACCCCACGCCACCGCCATGTCTCCCTGCACCTCTGTGCCCAGTCGTGTGTGTCTTGCATCCATGTGGCTTATCAGACTGTCTTGTCCCTCATAGATGTGACCGTGCCTTTCTCGCCTGTCCACAGTGACTCCCTGCCATCCGTCCCAGGCTTCTCCCCTCCATGAACTCACTCACACTGCAGCCTGCCATCCCGTCCCCCCTTGCTCTAGAATCCTGGCTCTCCTCTCCGAGGCGAGGAGAACAGGGGATGCTTTTACAGCCCTGGAAGAAAAGGAAATGTTTTGTTAATCTGTCGTGACAATGCACTTTTCTGTATAGTACTGTACTTCTTGGCATGTACCATTCCAGGCTTCAGTATACGGTTGGGTTTGTTCAAGGTGTAGCTTTATAATAAATACGATAGTTCTGGCCACTTTTGTCTGCTTCTGAGTTACTGAAATGTCCCTTTCTTTTTCACTCTGCTCCCCTAGAGAGGAATCTAATGGGTTGTATTAAAGAATGGGAAACTTAAGCCGGGCGGTGGTGGCGCACGCCTTTAATCCCAGCACTCGGAAGGCAGAACCAGGCGGATCTCTGTGAGTTCGAGGCCAGCCTGGGCTACCAAGTGAGTTCCAGGAAAGGCACAAAGCTACACAGAGAAACCCTGTCTCGAAAAAAAAAAAAAAAAAAAGAATGGGAAACTTGAACCTTTTGTTTTGTTTTGTTTGAAACAGGGTCTCGCATCAGACGGTGGTGGCACACGCCTTTAATCCCAGCACTTGGGAGACAGAGCCAGGTGAATCTCTGAGTTCAAGGCCAGCCTGGGGTAGAGAGCAGGATCCAGGACAGACACCAAAACTAGCAATTCATGTTACATTTGGCGCCCAACATGGGGCATGGACCCACGCCCCCTGAGATTAAGAGTCTCATGCTCTACTGACTGAGTTAGCTGGGTGTCCACCACCCAGAACAAGAAATAGCACACCAGCCACTGTTAACCAGTATACTGAGGAATCACACCATAGCTGATTTCACCCAGTTTGACTGCCCACATGAGGGCTCCTGCAGTTCTTATACCTGGTTCTTTTTGTTGAATTTTATGCTAGGAACTGGAGAATCAGTCAGTGGTGGATCTACCAACAAGTACAAGCCCATGTCCAGTCCCCCCAGCACTGGGAAAAAAAATAAACAACCGAGGGAGAGAGTTAAGCTACAAGTTCTTCCATTTTTATTGCTACACCGAACTCTATCTCAGGCGGGCTTCCGAGTTAAGCTTTGGGCTTTATATGCAAAAATTATTAAATCTAGAGAGATTAATGAAAAATGAATATCCCCACTAGTTAAAACTCTTCCCCAGACCATGATGGAAGGGGTGTTTAAACTGTCAGTTAGAAGGCCCACCCAAAGGTAAAGTGGGTTTCTTCCCATCTGGAGGCAAGAACTCATGCTAGAAGCTACTGAAACCACTGTAGGGTTCACCTGATACTGCTGTTGGGTGCCCGCCTTCAGTGCCCACTTTCCTTGCAGAAAGTTGAACTCATAAGCTCCTCACCAGGAACAAATGTCCAAATGAGACTGAGAGATTGTTCTGGAAAAATCACCCTGTTCTCCGTCTTCCTCCAAGCTACCCATCCCCTCAGCCTGCCACAACTGGCGGCACACACCCATTTCCACCCCTCCCTCTGGGATCCGTACCCCCATCCAGGTGTGTCAGTGGGTCACCCACAGTTAGCACGCCTGCACCCACTAAGATTACATCTTAAGCACTCGGGATCCCAGGGAAGAAAATTTCCCCAGGTTTGATTTAGGAGTATTAAAAATATCCCAACAAGCCTGAGACTATGGCAAATCCCATTTCAAGGGTTGTCTATCACCATTTTGTTAGTTTGGTTTGGGGTTTTGCTATGTTGGCTTTTTAAGACAGGGTCTTGCTGATTAGCACAAGCTGGCCTTGAACTTGCAATCCTGCCTCAGCCTTCCATTGCTTAGGGCTAAAGATGTGACCCACCATGCCTGACTCTTCGATCCCTACTTGGATTTCAGAATATGACTTTGGGAAATAAGCACCATGAAGTTCCTCAATTCCTCGGTAGTCTTTCTTTAAATAGCAGATAGAAAACCTGCTTTTACAGTAGAAAAATAGCTGTTCTGTGAAAGTCATTGCCCATTCTCCAGCAGGGACAGAACTGGAGTGACTGAGTGAGTGAGTGAGTGAGTGTGTGAGTGTGTGTGTGTGTGTGTGTGTGTGTGTGTGTGTGTGTGTGTGTGTGTAAGGATGTGGGAGGAGGAAAGAGACCATGACCCCGGGAATCTTAAGCAGTATGCTTTGCTTAATATAAATACCTTGTTCAACGTGAATTCTCTGCTCTTTGTTTTTCTTCCTGATAGAAGGCCCTCAGTGCCCTGGTCCTTCTCACTCTGGGGTTACAGGCATGCAACATTACCCCTGGTTTATTCAGTAATGGGCATCCAATGCAGGACCCCTTGCATGCTAGGCAAGCACTCTACCAAGCGAGCTCCATCCTCACCCCTGTCCAATCTTCGTTAATATGCACACCCACGTTTCCAGTGTGCACATCCCCTTCTTGCTTGCCTTGATGTACTAAACCTTGCCTGAGTCTTGCTGTTGTTTGGGCTGGGCAGCAGCAACAGTAATTTTCCTTGGGCATCTTCAGCTCAGCAGACCCCAAAACTATTTTCTTTCATTCCAAGTATACCCCTCCCCTTCCCCCACCCAAACTGTTCTACTTTCTTTTATCTACACTTTCCCCCAGCTCCGTGCTTCCCATTTGCCTCAGCTGTTATGGCGACGCAGACAGATTTCTTGCACCCATCAGCTCTCCTTTGGAGCAGTTGCCTACACCCTGTTGATCTTTCTTAACAAAGCTGAGTCTTTGGAAACACATGGACGCAGACTTTATTTTAAACATGTTACATGATAATAGCTAACACATACTGAAAGTGAAACCCACCCTACTAATATTGGTTCATTTAGGCCTGTTGCTGTGATAAAACACTGACCAGGGCAGATAAAACACCCCCAGGCCGAGCTCCCAATCCTGCAAGCTCATGGACTGGTTATCTCATGGTTCTGGCATGACTCTGCTGGGGTCTCCACTGCACCGGAGCCTGCACCCTCACCAATTACCTCCCCTAACTTCTTCAGAGACTTTGACCACATCACACGGTACCAATCTCATCTTATCTCCATGACCCCTTCAATCCTGGTGAAGCTGCACCTTCACCAATGGCCTCTCCTGGCCTCTCAGAGTGCTACGCCTCATCCGCCCTCTGTGACACTCTCATCCCTTCAAAACCACTACCACATGGTCCATTCTTACACATTGCCAAATCTGGCATCCGCCTGAGGAGTAGACTTAACCACATCCGGACTACCGCTTCTGTGGGCTGACCCTGAGGAAATGCTCCCGAAATGGTTTTATCTCAATGATGCTGGTCTCTTATTCATCACAGCTAACTTTTCAGTCCCAGCCGATCAGCATCTATTGTGTCCCAGTGAAGCATGGGTTTGACTTCCTCAGGTGCTCAATTCAAAAATGACACACAAATGGCCCTGACAGTCTATAAGGGACTCTCAAACTTCCCTCGGAAACTTCACAAGCCAGGCACCCAGGTCTGCACTGATCTCAACACTCTTACCTTCTAAGTTCCCACAGAATGGCTCATTAAGTTCTAAGAAGTCAACCAATTCTTCTCAAAACAGCCCAGTCTGGTCTGTCACCGCAACATTAATGTCTGGTCTAGTTTGCTTTCCGTTACTTTGAGAGACAAGAACAAAACCAGCATGAAGGAGGACAGGGATTATTTGGCTTAAACTTCCACCTCACAGTCCGTGGTTGAGGGAAGTGGAGGCAGGTACTAAAGCAGAGACCACAGAGGAGTGCTACTTACACACTCACTCCCTCTGACTTGCTCTGTTACCTTTCTTGTACAGTAATCCAGGTGAAGCACTACCCCCTTGTGGGCCAGGCCCGGCTACACCAATTAGCCATGGAGAAAACGCCTCCCCACCACCACATGTCCAGAGGCCAAGCTGATGGAGGCAGGTCCCCATCTGAGGGTCCCTCTCCTTCTGTGGATCAGGGAACAACCAAGAGTAGCTTTCACAATGAGCCTTTAGGCACTCCCTCAAAGCTGTGTAAAGGCATGATTAGAAGACATTGCTCGCTGCCTCCTCCTCCTGTCCCTGGGCCCAGACCTTCCTCACATACCTCAGGCCTGCCTGCTTAGAGATGACACACACCCATCACACCAGCGCTGCCACTTAGAAGAAAGGAAGAGGGAGAAAGCATCGGGGATGAAGGAGGGAAGAGAGCATCTAAGCTCGACCGCCCTGTCAAGTGCTGGAGGCCGCGTAACAGATGGATTTGCGGGTTCCAGGTGGATGGAAAGCCTTGAGCACACCAAGTCCACTTCAGCCAGATAAATATCTCCATCTCCCCAGTACTCACCTCCTTCAAGGCCCCAATCATAGAGAGGTCAGTGGCTGGCCACCGCCTTTGGCGGAAACCCATCCACCTCTGCTTCTCAGAGGACAAAGGAAGCTTCTGTAATGAAGCCTAAATGGATTAGCAAGACATTGCTTTTGATCGGGAACGTCATCCTGGTTGCCCTGTGTTGCCAGAGACGCTAGAGATGTAGATTTTGGTGTAGATTGGATGTTGTTTCTGCCTGCCACTGCCCTTGGGTTTTAACCCTTAGAGCAGAGGTTCTCAACCTTCCTGATGCTGCGACCCTTTACTGCAGTTCCGCATGTTGTGGCGACCCCCAACCATCACATTATTTCGTTGCTACTCTATAACTGTAACTTTGCTATTCCTACGGATCACAATGTAAAATCTCTGAGGTGCAGGATATCTGATTATTGACCGTCACTGTCGGAGAGGGAAGTCAATTTTCCTCTGAGAGGCGGCCTTGAGGCAGGCCTTTTCCCCCATTTGCTCTTCCTACCTTCACTTACTAATACTCTGCTTTCCACAGATTCCTCCAATGCCTATCTTACTAGGCCAAGGAAACCCAACTGAGCTCTTAAATCCATTAAGAAATGCCTTAGGACAGCAGTTCTCAACCTGTGGCTTGTGACCCCTTGGTCAAACCTCCACCTCCACACACACACTCACAAAAAATTACAATTCATAACTAGCAAAATTACAGTTAGGAAGTAGCAACAAAAAGAATCTTATGGTTGGGGGGGTCACCTCATTATAAGGACCTGTGTTAAAGGGTCACAGTATTAGGAAAGTTGAGAACCACTGTCTTAATGGCTAGGGAGACCGCTCAACAGTTAAAAGCACCTGTTCTCACAGAGGACCAGAGTTTAATTCCCAGAACTCATATTGGGTGGCTTACAACAGCCTCAACTCCAGCTCTAGGGGATCTGATGCCCTCTTCTGGCCGCCTTGGGCACCAACA